AAGTACATAAACACATAAACATGAAATATTCATCTGAGTTTAAGTTTTACTTCACCTCTCAGTGAAGACCCTTGAGCCCAGGGGCCTCACAAGACTTAGAAATGTCCCTGGGCGTCTGGATACTTTTGGACATACAGTTGCATCTAAAGGTTTAAACAAACATTTAACACATCCTGTACAGAGTTTGTACATATTGACAGATGTAAATATGGCACGTTTCTGCACATTTTAGTGCACAATTTCTATTTATTTGCCATATTGGGAAAAAATTACATACCTCATATCATATTTACTATTTTTTTCTTTCTCGTTATACAGTTTTGTTAGTGTGTGTGTGTGTGTGTGTGTTGTTGAATGTCAATGGAAAAATTAGACATACATGTTGTCATTGCTAATGTGCAAACTGTAATGTTAGCTGCCAAACATCCAATACAAAAAATGCTCTATAGATGCCAGAGGTTTTGTATAAACACTAAAAGATTTAATAAGGAAGTAATAACAATGTAGTATGACAGACAGTGTTTCCCACATAGCCTTAAGGCTCTGCTGCAAGTTTGAACAGCTCAGTGTTTTTTCCACTGGCCCTAACCAAAACACTCAGATGGAAAGTGAAACTTAAACTACAGACGAGCAGATGTGCTTTAAAAGAGCAGCTTAAAGATGGGAGGAAGGACTCGAGATGAGCGGGAGTGTTGACTTTAACAGTGCACTGTACATTTAAATAACCGGCTCTTCGGGACTGTGTAGTTAAAGAACATGTTGACAGTAATTCAGAATGTGTAGCTCATGTAGCATCAGCGTCCGTCAGTGTGATTGTACAGGAGGACGACCATTAGAGAGATGTTTTTCCTTATGTTACTACTAAGAAATCTTTCGATTATAATATCGATATTATGAACAGTTAAGGCAAAAGCCATGAAAGTGCTTCAGTTCATAAGGAACCAAAAACAAAAGCTGGGTTTGCATATTTAATCATGTATAAGCATTTTGATCTACACTTCGACTCAGCATTGTCTTAGCAATCATTCCATTGATCTTTTAAAATTTCTGCATAATTAAATCATTAAGATGTAAACAAAGTTCACAATTCAGAGTGGTTTGGTGTGAAATGCTCTGTTCTAGAGTAACGTACCAAGTCAGAATTGTTCACAGTGGTGGTGATAGGAACCAGACGGACGTCTGGTTCCTATCACCACCACTGTGAACAATTCTTTTAAAACTTTTAAAAGCTCCCTCACAGAAAGTTACCACATTAAATGGTTACAATATGCTAACTGTGGTCTGAGACATTGTTTCAGGCCAAATAATCCCTAAAGAAAATATATTTTTTCAGATTTGTCACTATTTTACCATCAACATTACATATAAAACCTCATGTAATTTCACTGGTGGTTTTGCATAGTAAATAAAATAGCTATATTTGTGTTGTAGATATCTTGACCACTGGTTCCTTTCAGCACTACCGTAAAGAAATCTGAGAAATCTTTTATACAGTGAACCATAAACCACTCTGAATGACTTTGCTTATGACTGAATTATGGAAACCTTTTTGGTAACACTTTCTATGAATGTCGCATTTGTAAGCATCTATAAACACATTTATAACATGTTATAATGTACTCATAAGGCATTATAAACGTGATTATAAATATTTATAAAAAAAAATTACACTGAATTACACTTTATAGCCATGCTTATTATACATTATGACTTGTTAATATAATGCATTATAAATAGCTTTAATAACATCTTATAATGTCAGTGCCAAAGAAGTCAGTCCCATCTTGGAGAGCGTAAAGTAAATACAAATACCAAGCTAACGGTGGTGTACATTACCTTTCCCACATTGGGTAAAACACTGATGTCAGCGCTAGTTTAAAAGTCTGACATTTGAAGCCTGTAATGTGCTTTACTGTGTATATTTTTTTTAATTTTCAGTAAATCCTTCAGTAAATACTTCAACTTGAAGCCTCACTCTTAACACTGGAGGAGGCTTTAGTACAGTATGCTTCACTTTACTTAGAGCAGACAAATATGACTTATGAGCTCTTATAACTTGTTATGATCAGTACTTATAATGTATTATGTTCATAATGCATAGTAAATTCATAATGCATAATAAATATGGCTATAACGTATAATGCATTTTTATAAATATTTATAGCTATGTTTCTAATGTCTTATGAATGCATTATAACATGTTATGAAAGTGTTTATAGATGCTTACAAAGGTGACATTCATTGAAAGTGTTACCACCTTTTTTTTTCACAAATTGTTATAAGATATTGCACATTAAAAATTCCAATCTCACTCAAAGTACATAAATACATAAACATGAAATATTAACCTCAGTTTAAGTTCTACATCACATTTCAGTGATGATTGTCCGGGGGCCTCGCAAGAAGGTGAACTATCCCAGAGCATCTGGATACTTCTGGACATACAGTTGTATCCAAAAGATTAGCACATCCTGCACAGAGAACATACTTAAATATGGCATTTTGTTGCAAATTTGAATGCACAATTCTATTTATGTGCCACACTGGAAAAAATTTAAATGTGTAAATACGTTTACATAGGCCACTTTTATGATTTACATTTTTTTCAATATGTTAAATATAACAAATAAACAGAAATTGTACATGTGCATGTGTTCACTTATTCTCATTTAGAAAATAAGCAAAAACATGTCATTTGACCAGCGGCGCCCAAACATTAGCACATGACTTGTAAAGTGCAAGTGTAGCCTGAGCTGCTTACAGATTAACACACAAGTTAGTTAATGTTAATACAGATGTTAATACAGATGCTAAAAGGGTGAAGAGGAGAGATTTTGAAACTAAATGAATGACAGCCATAGAACGTATGCAAATCAGCTATGATGATGTCATAATTAAGTAAGGGATGTCAGAAAACACGGCAAACATTCTATATGTGCAGAAGCACAAGCGTCACTCAACACACAGAGGAGGATCACTCAGTCAGCTGTTCTCACCGGCTGGGTTTCACAGGTTTTGAAGCTGTATAATATTTAGTCAGTCTTTTAGTCTTTTGTTGAAAATGTCTTTTAAAATGTAGCCTTTTTTCCTCCATTAATTTATTGGTATATTTTTATTAAACTAAAATTAAAATTAAAAAAAAAAAAAATTAGTTTATAACATATGTTGTAAAAGGCTGTCTGCACCAAACCCCAGTGAACAGGAAAGATAGCGACTCATACAGTTAACCATACAAAAAGCCTAATGTACCTGTTGTTGTCTTAATAATGCTACATGATGCTATACCACCATTATCCTAGTCAACAGTGAACTTTCTCATGCCAGTTGGAGAATCTTATGTGTAGGTAACAAAATACAGCTTTAATTTCTCATCTCATCACTAATATAGCTAATTACACAGCCTGTAGCCTAAACTGAGCAGCTACTGAAACTGCAACATTACGAGTGGTCCAAATAAAAAAGAAAAAACTAATTATGGAGTTTGCATTTTACAAGCATGATCTGTTAATTACACTCATTAACTCTTAGATTTTTACCATAGCGATGTTATATGTTAGCCTATAGCATGTGTGCTGCATACCTGAACATCTGATGAAGGAGTCAAAGTTACTCTGGTACTCAGGGCAGCGTAGCGTCTCATACAGAGACAAACAGAGTGGGCACTAAAGTCTAGGGCCAAACCACAGCTGTTCTGAGGTCAGCTGAGAACCAGTCACTGCTCATTTTCTAGTTTCATTGCTTTTTCCACATGGAATCTCATAAATCCTTTGGGAACTTGCGAGGACCTTGGTGTCCCAAAGCTAGTAATGAACATGATAACGTACTGAAGCCATTACAGATAGCAACAGTTGTAAAGCAGTGATTGGAAGGGTTGAGAAAATAAGGTGGAGCTTGGCAGATTTGGATTCAACATAATAGAGTGACAACACTCACACAAAACAAATCAGATTCATTATCCTAAAAAGTGTGGCATAATAAATATTTTGTCCTCATTTGATGGGCAGGCCTGTGATACTGTGGCTGCCTCCCTGAGTGGACTGGATTATCATAACGGTGCTGTTTCTACATTTAATCTCATGAATGGAGGAAACTGAAAAAACCCTTCTGAATCTACTGAGGTCCAGACCTCGGTGTCCTCATACCTAGTTACGGCCATGCCATCTGTTCAAGATCAAACCGTGATTGAGTGATTCGTCTGTTACTTTGTAATCATGATTATAGCTAATCGAGTCAGGCCTTCTCTTCAGCTCCTGGAGTCCTAACCAACAGGAGAGCTCGCTTAGCTATATCTACAGAGCATAACAATTTCTGACTAATTTTCCGCTCTGCATTTCCATCCAAAACTTAACAGCAAAACTAGAAAAGTATTGTAATACTTGTAGAGTTTAAATTCAAGCATGACTCTGCTGAATAAATATGAACTAAAAATTACAGAGATTTTTTTTTTAAGATGCCAGAAATCATTAGGCTTTTTCTGAAGGACTTGAAGGAGCTGAGGGTTCCCCTTTGATAAAAATTGGACATACATAGCTAAAACAGTAGTAGCCGTCATTTCGAGGCCTGCATCTTGTCTGTACTTTTGTCCATTTTAAAAGTCATAGTTCTAAAAGGGAAGGTAAACATACAACAAAAGGCAAACCCATACAGTTGTAATTTTTAGTAGCATATTAATAGCATATAACTGAAATGTATTGCAGGTCTAATAGCCTCCAAGACATATTGAATATCTCTGACCTCTCAGGCTGGTAAACTGTTTTGAAGTTATTATGAGGCTGAAATCTCATCTGAACTTGTGTTTAATTACAGCTGATTTACATTTCCTCTGAATCCGTCCACTAAAAAGAATATTTGATGCTGTCTTTGTACCACATTATGCGTCTGCTCAGCAGGTGGTGGTGGTCTCAGTGGTTTAGTATGAAAGAACTGAAAGGACTTTGCTCAGTTAATCAGGCCTCCTGTGTCTCCCCCCAGCAGGACTTTCTCCAGAGCTGAGAGAATACATGGGAAACTGCTGCTCAGTGACCTCGGAGTCCTGCGCAGTGACGCAGACCTCAAACACCGACGCAGACGAGGACTACGACTGCCCCATCTGCCAGGACATTTACAGTCTACCCGTCTGCATCACAAGCTGCAGACATGTGTGAGTCAATGGGATGGTTTGGTGGATCAGCTTAGATGGAAGGATAAAAATTTTGTGCCAGTATCATTGATCAGTGATCACTTTCATGGTACTGACCGATTTGCGTAAATATTTTATATTAAATATAAAGTTTATGTAATTATATATATTAAAAAGTATTGTAAAATTCCATGTCACTTAATTTCAGATTTCAGTACTTAAGTAGTCGGTATAATCAGCGTCTGAATTTTATATGCATGTCATTAATGTCTGTGTGTCTTGATTGGTCTCCAGCTAAACTCTGTTTTAAGCCACACCCACTTTCAGTTATTTAAAAGAAGGTATCAAGGTATAATTGTGGAATCAGTATCAGAGTAAAAGTATTGATATTGAGAACTTTAAATGATTAGACTGGCATACAGTGTTTGATATAGAAGCTTGTATAGTAACAGCCCCCTATAAATACCAACCTTATCATTATCTAATAGTTTGTTAATGACAGTTAATAACTTTATAAATTGCAGGTCTAATTGCCTCCAACACATTTTGAATGTTTCTGACCTCATGGGCTGATAAATGGTTTTAAAGTTATTGGGAGGCTGAAATCTCATCTGAGCTCTTTTCTTCTGCATCCATCCACTAAAAAGAATATTAGACACCATCTTTGTCCCACGTTATGCGGCTGTGCAGTGTGCATTAATAAACGATACCATTTAAATTTAAATATTATCCACTTACTTAGTAGCATATAAATATGTAAATGCTTTTCATACAAGTGTTAAAATGAGGTTTAATAAGTAACACAATATATGCTTATAAAAGTCATAACTACATAGAGTCCATTTAATGATTAATATTTTTAAAAGTATATATTAAAACTTAATAATGGTCATCTAAGCATTCAAAATTAAAATTAATCAAAATGAGCAAAATGATTAAGAACTACTGTATTGTTTACTAAGTAGTATGTAGTTATTAATTAGTCATACTTTAGTAGTCCTTCTTAGCATCAATGGTAGCCCTACTAACAACCAATATATGACCAAAAATGTACTAAACAGCACTGTAATTTGGTTGACCCGGAAACCTGCCTGCTGAGAACTAAATCGAAATGTTCACTCTCTGAGCACTTTATTATGACCACCTCCTTGTTTCTACACTCATTGTCCATTTTATCAGCTCCACTTACTATATAGGTGCACTTTGTAGTTCTACAATTACAGACTGTAGTCCATCTGTTTCTCTGCATACTTTGTTAGCCCCCTTTTACCCTGTTCTTCAGTGGTCAGGACCCCCATGGACCCTCACAGAGCAGGTACTATTTGGGTGGTGGATCATTCTCAGCACTGCAGTGACACTGATGTGGTGGTGGTGTGTTAGTGTGTGTTGCGCTGGTCTGAGTGGATCAGACACAGCAGTGCTGCTGGAGTTTTCAAACACCTCAGTGTCACTGCTGGACTGAGAATAGTCCACCAACCACAAATATCCAGCCAACAGCGTCCAGTGGGCAGCGTCCTGTGACCACTGATGAAGGACTGGAGGATGACCAACACAAACTGAGCAGATGAGCTATCGTCTCTGACTTTACATCTACAAGGTGGACTGACAAGGTAGGAGTGTCTAATAGAGTGGACAGTGAGTGGACACAGTGTTTAAAAACTCCAGCAGCACTGCTGTGTCTGATCCACTCGTACCAGCACAACACACACTAACACACCACCACCACGTCAGTGTCACTGCAGTGCTGAGAATCACCCACAATCCAAATAATACCGGCTCTGTGGTGGTCCTGTGGGGGTCCTGACCATTGAAGAACAGGGTGAAAGGCGGCTAACATTTTCACTTAAAAAATCAACACAACTGTAAGTAGTCAGTCCTGCATACTTACAGTTGTGTTGATTTTCTTAGTGAATATAAGTGAACACATCATCTACAGAGAACAAAGTTGAATATTAAAAAGTTAGTGCACAATTTCTATTTAGTTTGGCATATTGAAAAAAAAAAAACTAAAATATAAAATGTGCTATGACTTTTGCAAAGGTCAATATGTTAAATACAGTAAAGAAACAGTAAATGCATTAAAATGCATACAAGTGTGTTATCTGAAGAGGATGTGTTTTCACTTATATTTTCACTTAAAAATCAACAAATAAATGTAATTTGACTCAAACATTTGCATACGACTGTGTATAAATGACTATGTATAAAGTAGTACATGTTAAAAGGGGTAATTCACAAAAATAAACTGTGAAAATAGTATTTATTAACACATAGGTCACCTCATAGTCAGACCCCCCCCAACACTTCCCACCACCAAGACCTTTGCCACAATTGAACGAACACTGCTTGTAACTCAGTGCAAAATTTCAGCCACCGAACATGTCTTGGCTGACTGACTATGAAATTCTCTTAATGTGGATTTTGAGCTGAACTATTGCTTTAAGCTGCACCTCGGTTACAGGGATTATGTTCTCATGGCGTCATTTTTCATCACCAGGTTCTGCAAAACATGCTTAGAGACTGCAGTGCAAAGCCTGGGGCCTCGCTGCCCAGTGTGCCGGACCTTTGTGTCCGAGAGACCACAGAGGGCCACTGACGTCCAGGAGAGGATGAGAAAGAAGAAGGGCAAATGCAGAGCCTGTGGAAAAAAAGTGGGTACCTCAGCCTCAGAGAGCATTGATTGGTGTTTCATTTCCAAGCAAAGAGAATGAAGGACTTACCTGATTAAATAATAATTAGATTATTCAACACTAGGCCAGAGGACTTGCTAGAAGATTGGAAGGTTGACTCGTTAGATCACATTACACGTTTCCACAGTTCATCTGGCCATTTCAGATAATCTGCTCCTTCAGCTCTGTCAGTCTCCTTGAGCTTCTTTCTCTCCCTCTCTTCCTGTGTTTAGGAAGGCATTGTTTTACTAAATTCAGATTAACAAGACTGGTAAAAATCTGATCTGACTGGCCTTTGACAGAATTCCTGCCTCTTAATTTCTGTCCACAGATTGAGGAATTGAGGGATTCAAAATTGAATTATGATTAACACTATATGATCTCTTCACTGACATAGCTTTTTGTATAAAACAATATATCGCTGCTGTCGGGAACAAAACCTCGTTTTCAGTTTTTTAAATTGCATGATGAATGGACCAAAAGAAACGGCCCAAAATGACTTGGAAAAAAGTCTGGTTCCATTGACTTACATTAAAAGTAAAGTAAGTTTTTTTCCTTTTCCTGTAAAGTCATCATTTTGGAGATATGAGGTTTTCTTCTGACAACAACAATATGACAAATACCGGTGTCTCTTTTTTTCAAATATTGAAGTGAAATATAAAAACAAAGAACATAAAGAGCTGTCAATAATGTTACTTCTATCACTGCCACTCGTTCACACTTTTACACTCTCACTATGAAGTGAAGTTAAACTAGTTGGCTTGTCAGCTAGTTAGCTAATGTTAGTTTTAGTCTAACCCCTTTTTTGCCTCACATAAACCCAAAGTTATCTAGCTGACAAGCAACCAAGTAAAAACCCGATAACCAGCTATGCTGATCACAATTTGCCTCAAATCAATATTGTAGGTGGGGATCTTCACTCTGTAACTTACTTACTGCTCCACTTGTGTTAGCAAGTAAAACCAGAGACCCTCCCTCAGGTCTGATCTGATTGGCTTACATCTTACGAGGTCTGATTTGATTGGCTAGGCCAGGGTTTCCACTTTTCACTCACGTTAGTAAATCTCTGGTAGCACAGCAGAGGCAGAGCTGCAATGCATTATTTGGCAAAGGGACCAGTTTAGTGAGAAAAAAACTCTAGGCCTTCTGGAAGTTCTAGATATGTCACTGACTGTGAATATCAGCTGTGGTCTAACCAAGTTTCAGGTACATACAAGGTCAATGGTCAATATGTGTTAATGTATGTTACAAGCAAGTAAAACGTGGAATTTCCTTGAGTTTCAAATGTCCGTGTTTAATCTAGAATAGCCAAAAATATTAATGTGCACCAGTGATAGTTAAGTGGCAACATACTTATAGGGGCTCTAGTATGAACTAGCATTATTGTAGAGGCATCATTTCTTGTTTGTTTATGCTTATGGCTTATGATGCTTATTTTGACAGAAGGCCTTACCTAATATTCTTAGTTTGCCACTGATTCTTCAACATGCTCCACAGCTCATGTGTCTCTGACAGTTGATTTATGGTCTTAAAAATGAAAATGCCAAAAAAAGGTTCTTTGGAGTGTACAAGAACCACTTTTGGTTTCCAAAAGAATCGTTCAGTGTGGGGTTCTTTAAAAAGCCATTTTTGTGAATGAGATGCATGAGTGTATTAAAAGGTTAAAGAATCTCTTTTAAAGAACCCTAAATAAAGCTTGAAGCTCTAGGAAAATATTTTAACTGATATAGAACCTTTAAAAGTTCTATAGAATCCATGAACCATTCAGAATCTTTTCTTTGTAAAAGTACATGGAAATTGTAAATATGGTAAATATGAAGAGCAATTACAGTCATGATCTGGTTCTATGTTAAGATCATGCAACTTCCTAGACTTGAATGTGCAAGCCAAGAACAATTCAGGAGCCTTGAACTTTCATAGTTCAGCAAAAAGCCAAGTCTCTTGCTGGGCAGCAAAGATGGCAGCAGGATTTTTTGACTTTATTTTCAGTGAAAATTGTAATCCTCAGTGAAAATCCCCATCTACATTTCCATAGAAACTTCTCAGCCAGATAAGGCTCCATTACGAAAGCTGCAAGAAATACAAAAAGGAATACGGACTTATCACTGATCCTGCTCCCCTGACCCCTGCCCAAACACAAGACAACACTGGAATTATGCCCAACGTCCCGCTTCCCACATCCAGGACCAGGTACGTTAACACCGTCATCCTTATAGATGTGGTTCAGTTGATCCATCCAGGTCAACTCTTTAGCAAAGGCAATGGTCCTATGTAGAGCCATGAGTTCTACATAGAACCACTTGCATACTTAAAGCGTTCTTTGCATGATGAAATGGTTCTTCAGATTGATGGAGAATGTACATAATGAATCTGTACAGAACCTTTAAATTATTTAAATCAACCTTTAAATTATTTACCATCTTAAAAAGATGATTCTTCAAAGGTTCTTTAGTAAATACAATGATTCTATTTAGGACCATGAGATCTATGCAGAACCATGTCATGCTTAATTGGCTGATCAATCAAAAATGTGTTGTATATGGTTCTATACAGAAGCTTTTTGAAAATGACTCTACGCTCTTAAATAAAGACAATTCTTTAAGGGTTCTTTTGTGATGAATAGTTCTATATAGAACCATGAACACTCAGAGCACTTGGCATGATTAAAGAGTTCTTTGCATCATGAAATTGTTCTTCAGATTGATGGAGAATGTGTGGAATATGGTTCTACATAGAACCTTTTTGAAAATGCTTCTATATAGCACCAAATAGGGGTTCTTCTATTCATTCAAGCTTGACATTGGAACAACAGCAGAATCCTTTTTTGGTGCTATATTGAACCATTTTCAAAAAGGTGCTATATAGAACCAAAATGTTTTCCATCAATCTGAGAAGCCATTTCACCATGCAAAGAACCATCTAAGCATGACATGGTTCTTTATAGAATCCACGGTTCTAAAAAAGCCTTTATTGAAGAACCCTTGACGAACTGTCTTTTTAAGTATGTATATCTGCTGGGATGGACCAATGTCAGCTTGGTCTACCATGTTTTGCATTGATTGTGCTGGTGATTCATCACATGCAGTAAAACTGTGTAATACTGAACTGCTTTGAGGCTCTTGTATTATAAACTTTGTCAGTTGTTGGACAAACAAGTCCAAAGTCACCATGTAAAATGTAGACTAATATAGCTTCCTTCTGGCAAGCATGAGGCCTGCAACTCATTGTCCATTTTATCAGCTCCACTTACTATATAGGTGCACTTTGTAGTTCTACAGTTACAGACTGTAGTCCATCTGTTTCTCTGCGTACTTTGTTAGCCCCCTTTTACCCTGTTCTTCAGTTTGTTAGTATATGTTGTGCTGGTCTGAGTGGATCAGACACAGCTGGAGTTTTTAAACACTGTGTCCACTCACTGTCCACTCTATTAGACACTCCTACCTTGTCAGTCCACCTTGTAGATGTAAAGTCAGAGACGATAGCTCATCTGCTGCTGCACAGTTTGTGTTGGTCATCCTCTAGTCCTTCATCAGTGGTCACAGGACGCTGCCCACAGGACGCTGTTGGCTGGATATTTTTGGTTGGTGGACTATTCTCAGTCCAGCATCAACACTGAGGTGTTTAAAATCTCCTGCAGCACTGCTGTGTCTGATCCACTCACACCAGCACAACACACACTAACACACCACCACCACATCAGTGTTACTGCAGTGCTGAGAATGATCCATCACCCAAACAGTACCTGCTCTGTGAGGGTCCATGGGGGTCCTGACCACTGGAAAACAGGGTAAAAGGGGGCAAACAAAGTATGCAGAGAAACAGATGGACTACAGTCTGTAACTGTAGAACTACAAAGTGCACCTATATAGTAAGTGGAGCTGATAAAATGGACAATGAGCGCAGAAACAAGGAGTCATAATGTTATGCCTGATTGGTGTAAAACTACTAAAGAAAGACATTGTGAGAAAATCTTAAGCTGAAGTCACACTAGATCTGCAGTTTGCATCACTTTGCGAAATGGGTGTAGCCGAGACTGGACTGGAAGATTGGTGCTGAAAAAAATCCTCCACAGATAGCAAGCTAGCTAACTCGTTTACCATAAACAGTAACAAGATCAAGTGAACATAATTACATCACATTATTATATACTCACTAAAGTATAATGCTGCACATAAAAAATACATAAAATGTAACTTATATAACTGCTGTGGTTGTGGGTTAATTTGTGTGGTAACATAGCAGTTAGCAATCTAGCTAACTCATCTAAAACAAACAGTAAAACCACAAAAGGAAAGATAATAACACAGACTTGTGACTGACTGTGTATCATACAACGTCTCTTTCATGTGTTTAATCACAGTCAGTGGGGTACAAATGGTAAAAGATTTGTTCTTAATAGGCAAAATTAGCATTTCCTCCATTTTGGAGTATAATGCTATATGAAGGGCCGCACCTTCAACAGGTCAACACAGCCAAAACAGTAGCGCTGTTGGTTGAACACGTGAGTGAAATTGAAATGAATGTAATTTCACTTGCAAAAATGTTGGTGTGACTGGGCCTCAAACGGGAATCCCACATTTCTAAATAATTCAGTGGTCGAGATTCAGAGTCATTCAGTCATTCAGAGTGGTTTATTGTAGAGAAACTTACAGACTCAAATTTCTTCACAGTAATGCTGACAGGAACCAGGGGTTCACTCCCTCTATTTTCTCGCTCCGCTCCATTTGGTAGCCAACGCCGCAAAGTGAAACAAAGGAGCTCACTATGAAACATCGATAACTAATCAGAGCCTGCCTGAAAAATGTGTGATGAGAGGGAAGCGAAGGCTGTACCTTTGTGTTTTTTGAGTCGTTCTCTTGACATGACTTGGAAACATTGAATCATTTCGTTATTTAATCAAAGAGTCATTTGTCTCTCAGTGGACGCTATGTGGGCATTATGAAAAATATTCTCTCATTAAGCTCCATATTATGGTTGTGAAAAGAGAAAACATTGATTTATTTAATCATCACGATTGATGAGTGATGACGAGGAGGCCCTGAGCTTGGGCAGAAGTTAAGCTGTGTTCATGACCGAGTGGGAACTGGGGTTTCCGACCTCCAGGTGGGAAAAATTCGTTTGAACATCTCTCCAACTCATGATTCCCACTTGTCAGAGAGACTCAGGAGCTCCGACTTCTCTGAGTAGCTAATCTGTGACGTCATAGTAGCAGTAATTGCACGTTTTAAGCTTTTTAGACAATTTCTGTTTGAGTATCTTATGCTATTTGTGCATGATGTCAATAAACATGGGAATTCTTGGAAAATTGCAAGGTTACGTGCAAAAGTATTGATCCAGCCGCATGCTTTTGTGTCGATTTTATTAGTGGTGAATTGACGTAGCCTACATGCACCTTTATCGTAAAACAAGCTCTAATCAAACAGCACTTTAATTCAAATGTATAACAAGCGTAAGTAATAAACAAGCGCAAGTTTTTTTGTAAGCGACCTTAAGTAGCTGAAGCTGAACACTTTTAGGCAGTTGTCATGAATGCATTATTTGCCAACTAGGCTAGCCAGTTAAAGTGTTGGTGAAGTAGCTCACATTAACATTAGTTGTAGGTTAGTGTAAATTAATTACACCAGAGAAAACATAAAATGACCTAAAGTTTGGATAACCTGAAGCCACTCTCTCTGTGTCTGTTACCCAGTTAGGAAAAATTTGTTAATTTTTGTTGGTCCACTACTGGGGCTGCATCCTTGGTTTGTTCTGGCCCATTATATGCCTGGGTCCTTGACCCAGATCTGGCCCACACATTGTAAAGTGAGAAGAACTAAAGGATATGGCCCAAATCTGGCCCAACTACATTGTTGGTCCACAACATTCACGCCAGAATTGACCCACAAATGTAGACACAAGGCAAAATGGGATGGAGTGGTCCAGCTGTCTATTCTGGCCCGCATGCTTAACATCTACATGGCTGTCAACCAACACTCAAACAGGAAAGCCAGAATCGGCATTCCTTGTTGTGTGATCTATTGAATATGTAGATTCATGTATAATGTCTGACCAATAAGTTCCCTACTGAACTTCAGCATCTAGTGACCTTACAGTGTACTTACACTACTTTCTTGTAGTATATTTACTTAGTTATAGTGTACTTCACTTTTTGTCTCGTTTGCAGTGACTGGACTCTCTTTCAGAGATTATCTTTCAGTGATTATCTTTCAGTGAGAAAGTTACACCACCTTTTTTCTCTAGTTAGCACAGCGACAACACAGATATTATCTAGAACTGAGGCATTATCTGAATTATACATATTGCTGCATGGCTGCTGTTGGAATGCTGAATAAATACTGCATTGTTAGCATTGTACTGAGGTCGGAGTCACAGTGTTGAGAAAGACAAATGTGTAAGTAAAGATATTTATTCACGTACGGTGTCTTCCTAGCGGACTGCTTGAGATCGCGCTGCGCCAGCCTAATGCAGCACCACAAGGACAGAGGTAAACATTATTAAACATTTACACGGTTACACAGTTAGGATAGATACTAGTTAGAAGATACCTATTAGGTAAAGGTATTACTTAAAGTTAGATATTAGTTAATGATCTTAGTTAAAGAAAGATATTAGTTAATGATAGTAGTTAAAAGTAGATATTGATATTAAAGATAGGTATTGTTCATGATAATAGTTAATGTTGTTAGTTAAAGGTAGATATTAGTTAATAATGTTATTTAAAGGTAGATATTAGCTAATAATATTAGTTAAAGATAGATACTGTTCATGATAATAGTTAATGTTGTTAGTTAAAGGTAGATATTAGTTAATAATGTTATTTAAAGGTAGATATTAGCTAATCATATTAGTTAAAGATAGATATTGTTAATGATAATAGTTAATGTTGTTGGTTAAAGGTAGATATTAGTTAATAATGTTATTTAAAGGTAGAAATTAGCTAATAATATTAGTTAAGGATAGATATTGTTCATGATAATAGTTAAGTTGTTAATTAAAGGTAGATATTAGTTAATGATAGTAGTTAAAAGTAGATATTAGTTAATGATATTAGTTAAAGGTAGATATTAGTTAATAATATTAGTTAAAGGTAGATATCAGTTAATGATATTAGTTAAAGGTAGATATTAGCTAATGATGTTAGTTAAAGGTTAGATATTAGTTAATAATATAGGTTAAAACAGGTATTAGTTGAATGTATACTTTTAATTAATATCTACATTTTAATATCTATGTTGTAACTAACATTTGCTATGAACTAATATAATGAACTAATATCTATACTTTAAATAACATCTACCTTCAACTAATATTATTAACTAATATCTGTATTTTAAGTAATATCTACCTTTAACTAATATCTAATAATTAACTAATTACTTATTAATTATATTAGGGAAAGGTGGATATTAGTTACTAATATTCATTAGTTATATTATGTAGTAAAGGATTTGTATAAGTTATTGATATTTATTAATTATCCATTATATTAGTACAAAGTACATATTATTGATATTTATTGATTATTAATTAGATTAGTAAAAGGTAAATATAAGTTAATGTAATTTGTTGATTATGTTAGAAATATATTAGTCACATTAGGTATGAATTATATAAATTTAGACATACATAGAAGGATTATTCCCATAGACAATACATGCAGTTTGCACATCTGACAGAGGAATGTGTCTCCAGAGCCGGGAGAGTGTACCCGTGTCCGTTCTGCCCCCTGGAGGAACTAAGCAACACAGCACTGGTTCAGCACTGCACAAACCAACATGCAGGAGAAGTCAGTCCAGTTGTAAGACCCACAGCACTAAACGCATTTACTCAGAGATCCTTCACCAAACATACTTCTCCAGACTCCAGTACAAAGAGCCACTGGCATGATATTCAGCCAGTGTTTATTTGCCTTCGTTTCACTGTGCATCAAAGATTGTGCTTGCTAAATATGGCATCTTCCCAACATACATTAGGGGAGAGTGGGGCATGACCTAACACATTTGGAGTAATCATATTTTTATACAAGCAACATGTACATCTCTGCTACAAACCAACACTTGAACGATGTTTCTGGCACCTACTGTGCCCCGCGTTAGGTTTGTTCCAGAACACTCCCCTACTGTTCATGCATCTATCAGAGAAGCAGCACAGACCCATAAATCATTCATGTTCAGCAGTAAGCATTATAAGACTGGCCGATGAGCGAAAGTCGTATTTAATGAATCCTTTTCCATTTGAAGATGTGTCCGATCTGCATGAGCATTCTGCGGAGGAACACTCGCTACTCCACCCACAACTTTGTTGCTGACATGCTCCGAAGGCACTCCTACAGCTATGCTGACTACATGGTGAGAGGCTGTGGCTTTCTTTGTGTCCTTCCATTGACAAACAATAACAAAACCTATTCATTTCAGTTCTAAACTCTCTATTTTAGGGCAACAAGGTCAAAAGCCCCTGCTATTGTGACATGATGGCATGACAGAAGAGCGGTTTTTTCCATGGTTTCAATGTTGTGTATCTATTTATGGTTCATTCACTCATCAGAGTCTTTTGAGTGAGATATTTGTCCCAGTACAAGTTTGTGAATTTACTATTTTATCTGCTCCAGCAAACAATTCAAATCATCACTTCATTATACAGGTGAATTTTATCAGTGTACTATAGCATCTCGGTACTGGCTTAAGCTGCTGTAAAGGTGGAGGTGTGGTCATGCAAAGTAGCTCATGGGAGGTGCAAACTCACCATAAAAAAGGACTTACACTGTCGTTCTTTGGTTGAAGGTGTGTGTAAGTTACTCGTGTTATTCTGTGTTTAGATGTAGGTTTGGTTGTGTGGGTTTGTGTGTTAACCTTGAAGTGGGGGTGTGTGGCTGGTGGTGACCCCCTTCTCGCAGCAGAATCATAGCCTCTCTCATGTGTCCTTCTACAACGACAGTAAAGCTTGGCATCGTAACAACAGCAGGACCCTTTTTGGTGGTATATAGAACCATTTTTCAAAAAGGTTCAATACCATAACCACATAAAACACATTCTCTGTCAGTCTAAAGAACCATTTTACCATGCAAAGAACCATTTAAGCATGAAATGTTTCTATAGAACTCAGGGTTTTAAACAGCCTCATTGTCTTTACAAAATAACTCTTGAAAAAAGCCTTTTTAAGTGTGTACCATACTAAACTTATACTATATGGACAAACGTATTGGGACACCTACACATTACATCTACAGAAGCCTATATATCATCCTATTCTAAATCCATAGGCATTAAAATGGAGTTGGTCCCCCTTTGCAGCTGTAACTGCTTCCACTCTTCTGGGAAGACCCTCCCGTCCAACATCAGTGTCTGACCTCACAATCTCTGTTCTAGTTCATCCCAAAGGTGTTTGATGGGGTTGAGGTCAGGGCTCTGTGAGGGTCAGTCAAGTTCTTCCACAACAAACTCACCCAGCCATGACTTTATGAACCTTGCTTTGTGCACTGGGGTTCAGTCATGCTGGAACAGAAAGCGTTCTTCCCCAAACTGTTCCCACAAAGCTGGAAGCATAGAATTGTCCAAAATGTCTTGGTCTGCTGAAGTGAAGATTTCCCTTTACTGGAACTAAGGGGTCTAGGCCAACCCCTGAAGAACAACCCCATAGCATCATCCCTCCTCCACCAAACTTTACAGTCAGCATAATGCAGTCAGGTAGGTAACATTCTGGCATTCGCCAAACCCAGACTCGTCCATCAGACTGACAGATAGAGAAGCGTGATTTGTTATGCCACAGAATACGTTTCACTGCTCCAGAGTCCAGTGGTGGCTGCTTTACACCGCTCCATCCGATGCTTGGCATTGTGCATTTTGATCTCAGGCTTGTGTGGAGCTGCTCGGCCATGGAAACTCATTTCGTGAAGCTCTTGACACAAAGTTCTTTTGCTGATGTTGCTTCCAGAGGCAATTTGGAACTCTTTAGTGAGCGATTCAACTGAGGATAGATACTGTGTGCTTCTCTGAGACCCCACTCTGTGACTTTGCATGGTCTGCAGCTTCAGCTTGGTGGAAAAATGTACCAAGAATAAAATATATCAGGTTTGGAACATTTTAGTTTATCATTCATGTTTTAAATAGTCCATGTTATTTCCCATTTTTCATGTGTTTTGTTTTCTCCAAGTTTCTTTTTGTTTTTCTTTGATTTTTTACACCTGTTTTGTATGACTTTGTTTCTTTGATTGTTATTGCACTATTTTGTAATGTATAGTATGTCTACTGTCCAGGAAGAATAGCAGCAATTGTAATAGTGGTTAATCAGGATCCTAAAAGTAAACAAAAAAATAAATAAACTAGAGCTGGAGTTCTTAATAAGTTCATGCTGCTCACTACAGAAGGACTTCAGAGGTCTAGAGTGTCTTGTGGTGAACTCAGAGTTGACTTTCTGAGTAGCCATTCCTGATTGAGGTTGCTTTTCTTTGGTTTTCCCTAGTAGGAGGTTGGAAATTCCTAGTTATGAGCTTTAGTGGAGCACAGCAGAACAAGGCACGTTATGCCAAACCTGAATACACACCCACATAAACACACACTCACAGATTAAGCCTTTTTTCCATTGTATCATCCCTGCAGAATGAGGAAGAGGATGAAGAAGGTCGGTTTCGTCAGGCACTGCAGACTTCGGCCCAGGAGTTTTGAGAGGCCACTGAAGTGCTTGTTTTGGAATATCCTCTAGTGAGCTGTGTTTTAGCAGGCTGTTGCAGAAAACCTCTGTCTCTGCTCTTTAAACCCTCAACTTTTTGCAGATGGCGGAAATAAAAAATGTTAAAAGCAACTGTTTTCATGTCATTTTAGTATCATTTTTCAATGCTTTGAATCAAATGTTGGATGTAATCACAGTGTTATTGCTGCTCCAGTCAGAGGAGAGTGGTACAGCTGGAACATGTTAGCCCGTGCTAAAAGAGAGAACATGAAAATGTATGTTTTAATGATACAAGAGCAGAGATTCCTGATTCAGGCATTGAAAGTGTAATGAGTTACAGTGTCCACTGCAGTTGCCAACATTTCTTGTCTTCTTGTGATTTGTGAACATCTTTGCAAATCTACTGTCTATGTTACTGTGCTGCAGATTCTGTTTTTACCAAGTAAGACTTTAAGTGAGAGTGGATTTTATATTGCCTTTTCTTTGTAATCAGTGGTAAAAAAATACCAGCGTATTTGTACTTGAGTTTTGTACTTATATATTACTTTGGAAGATTTATACTTTACTAGAGTATTATTGAAATAATATACTTTTTTACTCAATTACATTTCCAAAAGAGGAAAAAACACTGTTTACTCGTTACACTTTCATTTAGATCTGTGAAAACTGTGAAACTGCTACAAGGTGAAACATATTCTAATATGTCTGCCAAAAGCTTCGAGTAAAACATGGAATGTCTTCATAAGCTTCAAATGTCTGTGTTTAATGTAGAACTGCCAAAAAATGTTACTGTAAGCTTAGTGCTAACATACAGTTAGAATCCCATAGAGACTCTAGCGGTCATTATGATAGATGTGAGTTTTTTCCTCATGTTTTGACCAAGTTTTTACATTAATGGCCTGAATTGAAGGCCTAGTTCTAATAGTCAAGCACTGCATTTTTCAACACTAAGTTGTCTTTTTCAGAACTCTTCACACAGTTAGCACAACAACCCTCTGTTAGTACTGAAAAAACCCTCTTAGTGATTGGAAAAAACTAAATCACTGATGAGCTCTAATAAACACAAACTGGCCCTATATTCTGCAGTGAAGATTTTAAGGTGTTAAATTCTACTGTACAGGCCTTAATCAAACATGGGTTCTGCATTCTAACCTAACCTGTTAGCTTGGACCTCATCAGGTTGTTTTACTAAAGCACTAGTGCAAGTTCCTTTAAATAAATAAATTGCAAAAGACTGTAATGTGTATTACACAAATAAAAGTGCTTTGGAAATGCTTAACTCACTCTAGTTACTGATTAATAAAGTAGTAATAAGCAGTTTATTACCAGCTTGATAATACTTTATAAAAGTTTTACAAGAGGATTATAATGTCCTGCAATTCTGGTGTTGCTAAAGTGCTTAATATCACTACCACTACTTCTAAAATTACTAATACTACTTCTAAATTGTCTACTACTACTACTACTACTACTACTATTATTATTAACTGCCATCACTGCTTATACTGCTACTAATAATACTTCTACTACTATTTTAAAACTGATTTTAGTGCTACTACAGCTACTTTTATTGTGAGTACTACTTCTAATACTTCTAATACTACTTTTATTACTTCTAATATTTCTACTGTTGCTATTTCTACTACCACTACTATTACTTGTACTTCTTCTTCTACTACTACTACTTTTAGTGCTACTACTGCAACCTGTACTACTTTTACTGTACTACTGACTGCTACTTCTAATACTTCTGTATGCTTCTTTTGCACTTCCATCTACTCCACCAACACCATTATTAAATTCGCCGATGACACCACTGTGGTTGGTCCAGAGGAGATGAGTCAGCGTACAGAGATGAGGTACAGTGGCTGTCAGAGTGGCGTTCTATGGCACTTAACACTAGTAAAACCAAAGAAATTGTTATTGACTTTAGGAAGCACAGAGTGGTCCCTGCTCCAGTCTATATCAATGGGGAATTGGGGGCCGCCTTCAATCGCCTGGGAACCCACTTCACAGAGGATCTCTCCTCTTTGCTAATACAATAGTGACGGTGAAAAAGGCCCAACAGCAACTGCAGTTCCTGAGAGTTCTTCGAACAACCTAAAGGAGCAGCTGCTGGTGGTCTTCTACCGCTCCATGATAGAGAGTGTACTGGCAAACTGCATTACAGTTTGGTATGTTGGCTGCTCAGTAGCAGATAGGAGAACTCTACAGAAGGTCATTAATACTGTTCAAAAAATCATCGGCTGCCCTCTGCCCTCTTTGGAAGATATCTCCAGCTCCTCGTGCCTCAGCAGAGCCAGAAAAATAACCATGGACCCTTACCATCCTGGTCACCAAATGTTCAGTCTCCTGCCCGATAAACAGATTTAAATGTCGTTTCTTTCCCTGGGCCATCAGAACGCTAAATTCCTCAAATACTACATTTTTAGAGCAGTAAACACTGGAAAAAGCATATAAGATATGTGGACTACTGCCACCTGTCAACTTTAGTTAATTAGTAAAAGCACCTTTTACTCTTTTAATAATTTTAGATTATTATTACATTTTAGTGCAATCTTTTATTCTTATTGTTTTTTTTTACATTTCTTAACTTGTTTGTCTGTCTTGGTTTGTTTTCTGTCTTGGTTTGCACTAGGAGTAATTCTCTTAATCTCCTTGTATACCACTACTACAACTTGTACGTTTTCTACTACTACTACTTCTACTATTACTACTTTATTGGTACTACTAGCCCAGAAAAGGATGGCATGCCCACTCCAGGTAAGAGGAAAGGACCTACCCCAGGTGGAGGAGTTTAAGTGTCTCAGCTCATTCATTGTTCACGAGTGATGGGAAGAAGGATCGTGAGATTGGCCACAGGCTGGGACAGGCGGCAGCAGTAATGCGGTCACTGTACCGGACTGTATTGGTGAAGAGGGAGCCTAACCATGAGGCAAAGCTCTCTGTTTACCGGTCAGTCTACATCCCAACACTCACCTGTGGTCATGAGCTCTAGGTAATCACTGAAAGAATGAGATCATGGATACAAGCAGGCAGAAATTAGCTTTCTTTGCAGGGTGGTGGGCTACACTATACTTGATAGGGTGAGGCGCTCGGTCATCCGGGAGGAGCTCAGATTAAAGATGCTACTCCTCTGCATTGAGAGGAGCCAGTTGAGGTGGTTCGGGCATCTGATCAGGATGCCCCCTGGACGCCTCCCGGTGGGGTGTGTACCAGGCACGGCCTACTGGGACGAGACCCTGGAGTCGTCCTAGGACCCTGCTGGAGGGATTATATCTCCAAGTTGGCCTGGGAGCGGCTGGGGGTCCCCGGGAATGACCTGGAGGAAGCTGCGGGGGACAGGGTCGTCTGGGATTCTCTGCTCTCCCAACTGCTACCGTGACCCTATCTGGACTAAGCGGTTAAGGATGATGATGAATGGTACTACTGCTGCCCCTACTACTTTACTACAACTACTACTACTAATACTTCTACTACCACTACTACAACTTGTACTCCTTCTATTACTATTACTACTTTTACTGGTACTACTGCAGCCCCTACTACTTTTACTACAACTACTACTACTACTAATACTACTTTTTAACTACTGCTTGTATCACTGCTACTACTACTAGTGGTAGTAGTCTACTTTTACTACTACTTCAACTGCTACCAGTGATACTACTACTTCTACGTTGACTACTACTAAAAATAATACATCTACTACTACTATTATTATTATAAATATTATTACTACTTTTAATTAATATTATTAGTACTATACTATTTAATACTGCAACTACTGCTTGTACTACTACTAAGAATACTTCTGTTACTATTTTAATACTACTTTTAGTGCTACTACTGCAACCTCTACTACTTTTACTACAACTACTTCTAATACTTATACTACCATTACTACTTTTACTACTACTAATAATAATAATAATAATATTTTAACTACTACTTATATTACTGCTACTACTACTAGCGGTAGCGTCTACTTTTACTACTACTTCAACCTCTACTACTGGAATTGCTGCTTCTACTTTGACTACTACTAACAATAATACTTCTACCTGTACTGCAACTACTAATCTTTTTATTCCTTGTAATACTACTACTACTACTACTACTAATAATAATAATAATAATAATAATAATATTTTAGTGATTAATAGTATTGTTTAAAAAGGTTGGAAAACAATATTATACTGAAGGACTACATACATCCTCAAAGGTCTCTGTAATTTATCTCCTCTCAACACGTGTGAATGTGCAAAGCTTCACTATCTAAGATTAGATCTGTTTTATAGGCAGTGTGTACAGGACCATTTATACTTTGGTCAATCATTGATCTGCCATCACCTAAACCCTATATCAGCCCCATCATGCCAGCTCTGCAGATTTCAGCCTCACGCCTCCTTTACAACCCCAAAGGGGTACACTAAGTGTCCACAGATCAAAGTTAATTTTAGCATTCGTCTTGAGCTTCAGCTCCTCACCGTACGTTCAAGATGAAGTGCAAGGCTGCAGTTTGGGCTTTAACTTTTTACATCATATGCCCTCCTTGACTGTGAAGTCATATGCATGGTAAGTTTTGCCTCATAAAATACTTGATTCTTAATCTACAGTGCTCAGAGCAAAGCTAGTGTTAGCACATTCTGTCTCAAACTTTTGTATCATATCTTAAGATTTGAACTATTTAGTATCTACTACAAATGATCAATTAACCACTATGAATTATTCATTATCTATTAAGAATTATTCAGTAACTGCTCTGAATTAGTTAGTAACTACTATGAATTATTCAATAACTGCTATGAATTATTCAGTAACTACAATGAATTATTTAGTAACCACTATGAATTATTCCATAACTTCTATAACTTATCCAGTAACTACTACAAATTATTTAGTAACTGCAATGATTAATTCAGTAATTCAGTAAAATATTCATTAACTGATTTATTTAGTAACCACTATGATTTATTCAGTAATTGCTAAAACTTATTCAATAACTAATACAAATTATTCAGCAGATGCTATGAATTATTCAGCAACTATAATGAATTATTTAGTGACCGCTATGAATTGTTCACTGACCGCTATGAAATATTCAATAACTACAATGAATTATTAAGTTTCTGCCATGAATTATTCAGTATCTGTTATGAATTTATTCACTAACTGCTATGATTTATTTAGTGACCACTATGAATTATTCAGTATCTGCTATGAAACTACTATGTAAGTTCTGTAGTTATGACAGTGAGATGCTAAAGTATGGACCCGCATATAGACCCTTAAAGTTTATGGGGTTCGAGTCGTCATTTTTTTTTCCAATTTTCCAATGACTATTATATTAACTTATATATAATACTATATAAGTACATAAGACTGAATAATTATGTCCAAAAGAGAAATCATTATGGTTCATAGGTCTATTACACACTCTCAGAAATAAAGGCACTAAACTGTCACCGGGGCAGTACCCCTCGTGTCACTGGGGTGGGACCCTCAAGGGTCCATCTCAGTACCTTTAGTCAGGGAACGTAACTGTACCATAATATCCACTGAAATGATATTAAGTTGTACTGACTCCACACACCCCGTCTTGTCTCCAGGCTTTTATTTTATAGTTCTGTTTTAAAATATTAATTTACTTTTCACCTGGAAAAACTTATTTAAGGTTCACAATTGGACCTTAAAACCACTGTTGTACCTTTGAGGGAACATTTGCATTGTTTGTACCTTGATGAACAGAAAACATACCTGCACAGAACCTTTATTTCTAAGTGTGTGTGTTATAAAGTTCTACATTGTGGTGTTTTTGTGTCTGAATTGTGATTTATCTTTTTCTCCATCTTAGCCAACATCCAAAGTATCCAAAGTCATCGGTAAGCTGGATTCTTAACTTTGCAATTCATAGTGATGAACATAATGATATAAGTGTACAGTGATGAGCTTTAAATGACATCATGTGACTGACAGTTGTCCAGTTATCAGACCCAAAAAAAACGTTCTAAATCAGACATAACCAAGCTGAGCATTGAGCTGATTACCTCTGTATGTTGATTTGATTTGACAGAGTTCGATGTAGATGGTGGTAAAGCGGATCTCTTTGATGTTAATGAAGGTAAAAGAGAAGAAAACCTTTCATACAGTTCTGTTTATTCAGTGTCTGTAAAGTAAAACAGTCACTAATAAGAGATGCAGAATTCCAGATCACCGGTTTAATGTTTGTTCACAGCGGCTGGTCTCGACCTGTTCGAGGGAGATATCGTGTTAGAGGTGAGTGAGAACCACACTAACCCGGGTTACTCCAGTTTGAATAAAGAAAGAAAGTTTAAAAGAAAGACAGACTGACAGGAAGAAAGAAAGACAGAAAGATAGAAAAAAAGAAACAAAGAAAGAAACAAAGAATAAAAGGATGACAGACTGACAAAAAGAAAGAAACAAACAAGCAAACAAACAAAAATGATGATGCAGACAGAAAGTAAGAAAAAGAAAGAAAGAATGAAATTCAGAGAGAAAGAGAAAAAGACAAAAAGAGAGAGAGAGAAAGAGAAAGAAACACAGAACAAAGAAAGAAAGAAACAAAAGAATGACACTGACAAAAAGAAAGAAAGAAAGAAACAAACAAACAAACAAACAAAATGATGATGCAGACAAAAAGTAAGAAAAAGAAAGAAAGAAATTCAGAGAGAGAGAGAAATTCAGAGAGAGAGAGAAAAAGAGAAAGAAACAGAACAAATAAAGAAAGAAACAAATAATAAAAGAATAAAACAGACTGCAAAAAGTAAGAAAGAAAGAAAGAAAGAAACAAACAAACAAACAAACAAAAAATGATGCAGACAGAAAGATGTATAGAAAGAAGAAAGAGGAAGAAAGGCAAGATGTATGAAAGAAAGAAAGAAAGAAAGAAAGAAAGAAAGAAAGAAAGAAAGAAAGAAAGAAAGAATTTCAGAGCGAAAGAAAGAAAGAAAGAGAGAAATAGAAAGAAAGAAAGAAAGAAAGAAAGAAAGAAAGAAAGAAAGAAAAATTCAGAGAGAAAAATAGAATTTCAGAAAGAAATTCATAGAAAAAAATAGAATTTCAGAAAGAAAGAAAGAAATTCATAGAAAAAGAAAGAAAGAAAGAAAGAAAGAAAGAAAGAAAGAAAGAGAAAAATAGAAAGAAAGAAAGAATGAAAGAGAAAAATAGAAAGAAATAAAGAAAGAAAGAAAGAAAGAAAGAAATTTAGAGAAAAAAATAGAATTAAAGAAAGAAAGAAAGAAAGAAAGAAAGAAAGAAAGAAATTCAGAGAACAAAATAGAAAGAAAGAAAGAAAGCAAGAAATTCTGAGAAAAAAATAGAAAGAAAGAAAGAAAGAAAGAAAGAAAGAAAGAAATTCAGAGAAAAAGAAAGAAAGAAAGAAAGAAAGAAAAAAGAAACAAAGAATAAAAGAATGACAGTCTGTCAAAAAGAAAGAAAGAAAGAAAGAAAGAAAGAAAGAAAAAAGAAACAAAGAATAAAAGAATGACAGTCTGTCAAAAAGAAAGAACGAAAGAAAGAAAGAAAGAAAGAAAGAAAGAAAGAAAGAAAGAAAGAAAGAAAGAATTGAGCAGTTTTCTTCACTGTAAAGATCAGAGGAGTCTGATGATTCTATGATGCTGTTTATGAGTCTCAGGTATCAGAATATAAACTGTCTGGTAAGAACCTCTTGCGTAACGTCTTGTTGATGCTCTGACGGCAGAGACAAGGACGGAACTCCATCATCGGGGATCAGTACTTGTGGCCGAAGACGGTTCCCTACTATTTCGAGGATGATCTGGGTGAGCAGAGTCAGAGCTGCATATTCACTGCACAGAATGCAGCTGTTTTTACATGAGCAGCTGCACTGAAACGTCATTGAATGAAATCAACTCAGTTTTCTGTTTCAGCTCACTTACTTTTGAGAATGACTCTGTTGATGGTACATATTTTATTCATGTGCAAATGCATAAAATATATTTCAATATATGATATAACTTTTCAAAATACACTGCCATTCAGAATCACTTGCCATATTAACAATTACTATCATTATTATTTGAACATTTCAAGAATTCTGTGAAGGAAAAGGTATTAAGTGATAAATTATATATTGTATACCGTTAAGCTCCTGTTTTGGTCAAGTTCTTTAATTCTCAATTTGTTCACCACTTCTAAAATATGATGAATTCTAGATTAATTTTATTATAACTTCATTTTCATTGCCATGAAGATTTTTCAGTAATTTGAGAATCTTTAGAGCTCCTTTCATCATTCCAAGCACACCTCAGCATCCTGCTTATTATATGAAAGCTGTTAAATTGTACAGGACAAACATGTTGGAGTCATTTTATATATTTGTTGGCAACCAAATCAGTTTTATATTGATTCATTGATTCCAAACTTTTGCAATAGAAATTCCAAACTTTGGAATATCTCAAGTATATCTCAAGTCTTTTAATCTCCTGCATAAATTAGTGAGCAAGTACAGCGATCATAATCCAGTTATGTAAGTTTATGGCATTAATACATTTGCCAATAACTCAAGGAAACAACGAGGTTATCAAAGAAACACAGATAAGGCTGGGAATGTATCAGTCCAGCATTATTATTTGAACTGTTTGAAACATTTATACCTACCTTACAACTCTATTTGTATTCATCAGTGGACTCTACATTGGCCACTACAGTCTTCAATATTGTAGTGGCAGTTCAATTATAAATATATATGGGTCATTTCATGCCACTCACACAGGGCCTGTCCAGTTATGTAATGAATTTCTGTGAAAAAGTTAAGCATTTACCATACAAACTGTGCTGAAATTGCAATCTTAGTTCCAAAAAAGTTAGGAAAGGTTAGGAAGAAAGTATGTAAAATGCAAACAAAAATAAAAAGAGGTGATTTGTAAATCCACTTTGATCTTATGAACTTCATTGTTCTTTAGAAATTTACGCTCATTCTGAAATTGATGCCTGTAACACGTTCCTAAAAAGTTTAGACAGAAGCACTTTAAGACTAAGAATGTTTTGAAATGTTCAAAAACATCTTAAACAGGTGATCCAGGCAGGCTCGGACATAAAAGGAGCATCCAGGAAAAGCTGAGTTCTTTATGAGCGAGGACGAGTCGAGGCTCACTACTTTGCCAAAACTGCATCAGCAAAAATCCAACAGTTTAAGAACAACATTGCTTAGTCAGGGATTGCAAGGATTTTAGGTATTTTCTGCTCTGCAGTGCATAAAAACATCAAAAGATTCAGGGAATTCAAAGAAATCTCTGTGCTTAAAGGGGCCAAAATTCACAACTTAATGCCCGTGACCTTTGACCCCTCAGACAGCACTGCATTTGAATTTAGCATGTTTCTGTGATGGAGATCAACCATTGTTGACCAACATGCAAGTTAAGACTGTACTATGCACAACAGAAGCCACAAGTCAACGATGTCCAGAAACGCCGCCGACTTCTCTGGGCTCGAGCTCATCTGAAATGAACTGATGCAGAGTGAAAACGTGTATTGTGGTCTGATGAGTCAACCTTTCAGATTCTTAATGGAAATAATGGACGTCGTGTTCTCTGGGTCAAAGAACAAAAGGACAATCCAGATTGTTGCCAGTGGCAAGTCCCAACATTTATGGAATGTGTTGCAGGCATCAAATTTGGATTGAGCACATATTTACAAAAAAACAATGAAGTTCATAATGTTAAACAAAAAATATTGTGGTTTCGTACTGCTTTCAATGTAATGTTAAAGAAGCTAGAATTTACTCATCACTGCCTTCTGTTTTATTAGCATTTCACATACTGTCAAACTTTTTTGGAACTGCGTTTGCAGGTTTTTAGTTATGAATTTTTAATGTTTGTTCCATCATGTTCTAATTCACATCTTAATATTGAGTTTAACTGGTTATATAATGACTGAAGCTGAGCTGAAATACTGACTGGATATAAAAACAATCTGGCATAAAAGATACAGTACAAATAAAAAGTGCCTCATCAAGTAAATTAGCTTGTCATGGAGATTTATGAACAAGAAACCAGTTCAATTTTAAGTGAAATATGTTCCTCAATGTTGTATTTATACCCAGTTAATATTTATATATTTATATTAATTCTGTAATAGGTTAAACTCAATACTTAAGATTTAGAACTAATCTTAAATATTGAGGCTAATATTTATGGGCTAAACTTTTTAAAATGGACTAAACTAAAATGTATAACTGAAACCTATTTGGAGCAAAATTTTTAAAATTTTGTATTTTGCATGGTTGCGTGATTTAAATAGAAGCTCTTTGTTTAAATGTTTCATGGAAATACATGATGTGACTGGACAGGTCCTAGGTAAATTGGCATGGAATGACCTATTAACATTATCTTTGTCTATTTTTTTAAATACTTCCATTAGTATTCAGGACATTTAATTCAATGTTTGTGATTTTACTACATACTTCGTCTACATAAAATACTTTAGTTTTACATTTTCATTCAGACATTTGACTCCCCCAGTAAGAGCATCTCCATGTATGCTCCACAGACATCAATGCCAAAGGGGTCATAATGAAGGCCTTTGAACAGTATCGCTTGAAGACATGCATTGACTACAAACCCTGGAGTGGAGAGGAGAACTATATCTCTGTGTTCAAAGGCAATGGGTGAGTGAAGATATGCATAAAACCCTACAACACTGTGAATATTTAAAGCATTCAGAATAATGCTTTAATGTGGTGTTCACTTACCCATGTACCCTTGAGAGTAATGTTTTACTGTAGTTCACAGCAGCAGTGAAGAGGTTTTTGTGTTGTCCATGTCAGAGCTGCTTATCAGACATCTACAGCTCACGTATTGAAGATATAAAGATTTATGGCTCTCATATAAAATGGTAATAAAATGGTACAAAATAGCTTGGGTCTATTACAGAGTAAAAGCCTTGCTAAATATTGCAGAAAAACATCATCCTCCACTATTGAACGTATATAAATCAAAATAATACTGTTAAGATAGCAGATTTCCCCCCCTTACTCTACATGTGACTGATCAGTCAGGGCATGTTCGGTGTCCAAAGTTTAGGTTTAGCTCTTTAGTTTTGCACTGGAGCTCTAAGGCTAATGCAGCTAACAGGTAATGGGAGCTTAAAGCCACCTGGTTAGCACTGCATGGTTTCTGACTGTGGTTGTTATCCATGTTTATAGAAAACATTGTATCCTACAGCTTCAGAACCAAGTCTAGAAGCTAGTCTATTGAGATTACTTAATGAATTGATGCAGTCTGAGGCAAGTCTTGATGATTTCAGCATACAGTTAGACAGTGTTAATTATTTATTTATATTTATGTTATTACATATCACTGCTGTCGGAACAAAAACAAAAACATTTTTGACGTGTTTCAGTTTTTGACATAATTTGAAAATGGCTGTTGTCCTTTACATAGTGTGTAAATTTCATGATGAAGGGACCGAAAGAAATGGCCCAAAATGACTTGGATTGGAAAAAAATTGGTTCCATTGACTTACATTAAAATAAAGTATGTTTTTTGCTTCTCCTGTAAAGTTTGCATTTTGGAGATCTAAGGTTCTGTTTCAACAGCGGTGTTATATTGCTGCCAATACTTTTCAGGCTCACAGCAAAATTAAAGAAGCAAACTTCTAAATATATTGACATTTGAAGGGATGTTTGGTCTATCCATCACTGCAAAAACCATGCAAAATAAACATGTTTCAGTTTAAATGTTTTCCATTAGCACACAGGATATGCATACTGACATGTTTATCAGTTAGCTTTCACTTTTACATACTTGTATATTTTTCAGCCTCATTTGCAAAAAAATTCAGATTTTTCAGTATTATTGGTCCTCATTTATCAACCACTCTTAAGAACGAATTTCTTCTTAAAACCCACTCACGCAGTTTGACGAAGATTCTAACATTCACCAGTGTTTCCTTATTTGGGATTTATTCTTAGGTAAGAACAGCATCTACACACACTCAAGAGCACAATATATGCAAACAATTCTGTAGATTAAGAACACGTCATGAATCTGACGTATACTTTTCCTTAGGACCTTTCTCAAGAACAAACTCAAGAAAAAGTATAGGGAAAGTATTGGTGAATGAGGCCCATTGTGTCCACCTCCACTCCTTTCACAACCCTTGCTTTCAGTTTTCCAAAGAAATCTGCAGGGATATTTTTCCACACCTCCAAAGTTCAGTCTTAGAAGTTGGTTGCATTTTCTGCTTTTCACAGTCCCAGTGATCCCAAACTCATTTAGTGATGTTGAGGTCTGGACTCTGGGGTGGCCAGTCCACTGTTTTGAGATCTGAAACTGTAAAAGTAATAAACTGCACTTAAAGGACATCTTGATTGAAAATTAAATAAATGAAAGAGTGGCCTTTGACTTTTCCACAGTAATGTCCAAGTCTTTGAATTTTAACAGTTCACTGGCCCTTTTCCTCTATGTGAACAGGTGCTTCTCATCTGTTGGGAATCGTCATGTGGGAAAGCAAAGTTTGTCCATTGGTTCAGGATGTGACCGTATTGCCACCGTTGAGCACGAGTTCCTCCACGCTTTGGGCTTCTGGCACGAGCAGTCCCGCTCTGACCGGGATGATTACGTCACCATCATGTGGGATCGCATTTTAGAAGGTACTCCACCCACCAGACTGGCTTTCAGTTTTCTGTTTTTCATAAATCCACTGAGACATTTTCCACACCTCCAAAGTTCAGCCTTAGAAGTTGGTTGCAAAAAGGTATAACTATAAAATGAAAATCTTATTGTTACTGACCATTTTGACTGAAAATGACCTGGTTGATTTTGACTGGTCTATGAAAATGAACATCTCAGTTCATTTATTTCTCTGCAGTTCTCCATTGACTCACATCATGGTTTCTTCCCTCAGGCAGGGAGCACAATTTCAACATATACAATGACACCACATCCAGCAATCTGAACGTGCCTTACGACTATGGTTCCATGATGCACTACAGCAAGACCGCCTTCCGTAATGGCACTGAGCCCACCATCGTCACCAAGATTCCTGCCTTCAGTGATGTTATCGGCCAGCGTATGGAGTTCAGCGACAGTGACCTGCTGAAGCTCAACCGGCTCTACAACTGCAGTAAGAGCTCCTCTAATTACAGTGCTGAGACAGTAATGTCGGAGTAATGGTAATTCTGTGTTTAGCACTAAAGTTTGGGCAGTGTTCCTCCTGATTACCATCAAACTCACTAAAAATGTCCACTTTTAGCTTTCATTTCCCATCACAAAGTTTTGGTACTCCGCCAACACCCTATCTCTTCCCTGTTCCTCAGTCCATCTCTCAGATCTTTCCCTGCCCATCAAGGGGGGTCTGGCCTTCTGTCCTAGAGCAGAGGTTCCCAAAACCCAGCCCAAGTTCTCAGAGTCCTCTCTCCTCCTATAGTCATATAATCTCTCCTCATATTACAACCATTTATTGAAGGCATGGTCCGAACTTAGAAGTGGCAAAGGATGTCCTAATACTGGTGGTTGCACCATGTTACCTTACATTCTCTCTCCTCTGTTCTGTTTTTGAACTTTGAACCAGACAATGACTTTGTTTACACGCAAAAATTTTTGCCAATCCGATTGAATACACTCAAATTACAGATTAAGACTGAGGTGTTTATATGTTCACTCTATTCCACAATCTGATGAAAAATCTCTGTTTACATGCACACTACAAAAAATCCGATCAAAATTATGTGCATGAGTACCACTTGGTGTAGACGTTACCATGACAACGAGCATCACGTGAATCCAGTCAGTGAGACGAGCAGCAGTGAGCAGTGCTTTTGTTTTTAATTGCTTTAAATGATGTCAGACTCAGGAAAACGTACTTCATATGTCCTTATTAAAGGAGGCAGAGAGGAAGACGTCGTGTTCTGAGACACATAAGCTGGACGTCCGTCCCACCGCCGTCTTTTAAAGATCAGAATATAAACTTTGTCTCCTCTGCAGACCAGTTTCTTCTCCACCATGTTAAACCTTATAAACTTTCACTATGACGCAACGAACATGATCACAACGTACTTAAATGTTCTGATAGAGAATGTAATCAGATACAGGCGTTTACACGGAGATTATTCTTCTATTTAATGGATTATTTACAGGATTGCACACCTCATTCAATCGGATAGGAATTCTGAATGGCCTCAAACAGACTAGACCATTCTGACTGAGGTGTATACATGGACGTATTCTATTCCAATTGAGCTATCAGTCGGATTATTAACATATTATTAGGCTGCATGTAAACGTGGCTATTTAGTCTTATTCTCTGTTCATACAGCTTTTGTGTTATTGTTTGTATCTGGTGTCAACCAGAGGAGGATGGGTTCCCCTTTTGAGTCTTTGTTCCTCTTAAGGTTTCTTGCTCTTAGGGAGTTTTTCCTTGCCACCATCACCATTGGCGATGCTCATGGGGGCTTGGACCCAGATTTTTCTGTGAAGCTGCTTTGTGACAAAGTGCTTTATAAATAAACTTTGACTTGACTTGACTTGAGTAGGGAATAAGAAAAAAACAAATATATACTCCCCAGTTAGCTATTCATGGGCCATGCCTTATAGAGCAAGCTTTTACCATAACCCACTGGTGTACACATTGAGTAAATCTAGCTTGGAAAGCAGCAAACTTAAATGAAGGCACTGCATCTGTTTGATCAAATTGATCTGATAGCTGAGAAAGGGCAGATACAAAGCTGTCTATCAGTATCACTGAAGTCCAAACAAAGTCATGTATCTGATGTATCTTTACAAGAGATGGCACAATCATTCTTTACTTATAATGTGAGTCAATGTAATGAGATTTTATTCCAAGTGATTCTGAACCATTTCTTTTGGTCCATTCATCATAAAATATCAACACAATGTTAAGGGCATCTATTAGAAGATATGCCTTTGCTCCACTGTGACTTAAATATTAAGCTTCTATTTAGTGAGCTAAAACTGCATTATTTGAAGGACAGATTATCTGGGTAACCATCAAATTTAGGCATGACTTTCTGCTGTCAAATGTGTGACCAGAACCAGATACCACTGCATTCAGTTCCACTGTGAAATCTTCCAGCACCCAGATGCTTTTAAACACGTTTCATCACCTTGTGTGATGGTGTACAGGGGTAAGCCAAGGACATGAAGCACTTTTATGACTGTCCAAAGTGTGCCATTTATTGCAGCTAGTTGGTTGATGTTTATCTTTTTTCTTCTTCTTCTTCTAGCACGCGGCTCCACTTTCTTGGACACCTGCGACTTTGAGCAGGAGAATATTTGCGGGATGATCCAAGGTCACGACGACATGGCAGACTGGGAACGTGTCAGCATGGCAACCGGCGGACCTGATACTGACTACTCTAACATGGGGCAATGCACTGGTACAATATCCGTGGTCTGACTACTCGTCCGACTACTCACTATCCTTCTCCGTTTAGATTTAAGCACTGCTGACCATGAAACATGACACTCATTTCTAATAAAATTTATAATTAATTTAGTTAATTGTCCTCGGGAAAGGTATTCCTACCATAGACGCTGTTGTTCAAGGCGTCCCCCAGGGATACATCCTAGGGCCCCATCTCTTTGTTGTCTATATTTTGCCCTTTGGTCAAAAACGTGCCACCAATTTTGTTGTTATGCTGGCAACATTGAAATTTATATTAGCACCAGAAACTACCATTGTTCTGCCACCACTACACTAATATCCTATGTTCATGATATCAAACATTAGATGCATTTTAACTTTCTGAAACTGAATCCCAATAAAACTGAAGTCTTATATACTGGCCCTAAATCCATCGTAATAAGACTTTATCCTCAACATATATGGAGAAGCTGTTAAATTTGCCTTGGTAGGTGGCAATTTGGGTGTCACGACTGATCCATCTTTTTCCTTTGGAACCCACCTTATGGTGGCAGACAAAAGCAGGATTTCCCATCTCTGCAATATTCCAGCTTTCTTCCATGCAAGTTTAGAGGACGTTGAGAGATAAAAGGAAAGAATTGACCTGTTCAGTGGTATTTTGAGCTAGATTAGTTTAGTCTGCTAACGTGATCATCTCCACTGCGCTCTCCTTAGCACTGTTCAACATTTGGCAAATGTAGTTCAACATTTATTTGATGATGAATAGAAACTCACACTAGTTTATTTTCAGATTATTAGTGTTACGGTGGGAGTTTTTGATTCTGCTTTGCTCCTGCAGGGTCCTTGGCATAAGGGGCAGGGTTTGGAAACGGACAGGCAATTTGAATAATCAAGCATATTCATTAATGTTCGCATTCTTAATGAGTGTTAAGGTTGATGAATGCTCTTATGCCATTTTATTTGACTCCTTGGCATAATAACAATAATAATACATAAACATATTTAACAACTTATTATCCAACATTGCATATTTATGGTTTAAATGATGACTTCAGTGAATTTCTCTTTCTTCTTTTCACAATGCTTTCACTAATAGTTAATTTTTTTCTCCCTCTTTTCTCCCCTTCCCTCCAAATTGGAACTAATTGGAGATAATGTTGTGTATACACCGATCAGATCCTCCTTGTTTCTATGCTCATTGTCCATTTTATCAGCTCCACTTACTATATAGGTGCACTTTGTAGTTCTACAATTACAGACTGTAGTCCATCTGTTTCTCTGCATACTTTGTTAGCCCCCTTTTACCCTGTTCTTCAGTGGTCAGGACCCCCATGGACCCTCACAGAGCAGGTACTATTTGAGTGGTGGATCATTCTCAGCAACAACACTGACGTGGTGGTGGTGTGTTGTTGTGTGTTGTGCTGGTCTGAGTGGATCAGACACAGCAGTGCTGCTGGAGTTTCTAAACACCTCAGTGTCACTGCTGGACTGAGAATAGTCCACCAACCAAAAATATCCAGCCAACAGCGTCCTGTGGGCAGCGTCCTGTGACCACTGATGAAGGACTAGAGGATGACCAACACAAACTGTGCAGCAGCAGATGAGCTATCGTCTCTGACTTTACATCTACAAGGTGGACTGACAAGGTAGGAGTGTCTAATAGAGTGGACAGTGAGTGGACACAGTGTTTAAAAACTCCAGCAGCACTGCTGTGTCTGATCCACTCAGACCAGCACAACACACAACAACACACCACCACCACGTCAGTGTTGTTGCTGAGAATGATCCACCACTCAAATAATACCTGCTCTGGGAGGGTCCATGGGGGTCCTGACCACTGAAGAACAGGGTAAAAGGGGGCTAACAAAGTATGCAGAGAAACAGATGGACTACAGTCTGTAATTGTAGAACTACAAAGTGCACCTATATAGTAAGTGGAGCTGATAAAATGGACAATGAGCATAGAAACAAGGAGGTGGTCATAATGTTATGCCTGATCGGTGTATTTTGGCTTGTGCAGCAACACCGGGTATGAGAAAGCACTATATAAATTAAACATTTTATTATTTTTATTGTTGTTTCTGTTGATTTAATAAAATATTAATCTTACATAGATGTTGTCCCAATAAAAAATAGTTTTATAATACTCAATATTTTACTGAAATAAACTATTTTAACATCATTAAATCAAATAAGACAAACTTTAGTCCCGTAAGGCTTCCATGGTTTGACACAGGCCTTTTGTGTTCTGACTATTTTGTCCTCAGGGAGGGGCTACTTCATGCACTTCAGCACTATCAATGGCAATGGAGGGGACACTGCTATGTTGGAAAGTAGGTTGTTGTATCCTAACCGAGGTTACCAGTGTCTGCAGTTCTTCCACTACCACAGTGGAAACCCCAGTGACCAGCTGGCCATTTGGGTGCGAGAGTACGACGAGGCCAACCCTAACGGCACACTACGCTTCATTCAGCAAATCGATGGTGAGTCTGGATCAACAGAAGAATAACTGCCCATTTAAACTCTCCCAGTAAACTGGATTGTATGGTTGCACATAATTCTTTAATGCCTTCTCTGAAGGACCTCCTGAGGATCTGTGGCAGCTCCACTATGTTACCCTGGACGTTTCCAAGAAGTTCCGTGTGGTGTTTGTGGGCACCAAAGGTTCCGGAAGCTCCACGGGTGGGCTTTCCTTGGATGACATCAACTTGTCTGAGACCACCTGCCCAGAACATGTGTGGCGGATCAAGAACTTTAAGAGTGTGATGGAAAACACACCAATAGGCACTGCCATCTACAGCCCTCGCTTCCAGTCCAAGTACGGCTACACGTTCCAGATGGGGTTGTATCCCAATGGTTCTGAAGACTCTCTTGGGGAGCTGGGAGCCTACGCCCATCTGACGTCCGGAGATGATGGGGTCGACGCTGGTCTCGTCTGGCCCTGCCCGTGGAAGCAGATGACTATGATGCTGATGGACCAGAACGCAGACATCCGCAGACGCATGTCCAACCAAAGAAGCGTCACGACTGACCCTACTGAGGTGGCAGAAGGTAGGACTGCAGAAGATCCTTTCCTTTCCTGCCATGCATGATCCTATCACTTGTACCTACCACCAGAAACGAGGTAGATCCTTTAGAAAATTGCTGTAATAGATTGAGTTTATTTGTTTACTGATTTTTTAACATGTAGACAAGAGTTGAAGAGAAGACATGATGAATACATCACCGCTGCAGAGTGAATTACAACTCAAACAGCAAACGGAGCAATTCAGAGTAAATTATAGTTGACTTTGATTTCTTTCTGTAATTCACTAACAAATTCTTTTACACTACCAGCAATATTAAGGGGGGTAATGGTGGGTAATGCTCTAGTTCATTAGGCAAAAATATGTAATTGCAAACAGAGAGGCACTGTTTCTGTTTTATATTTGCATTTGAAATTTGACATCTTTCTAGCTTGTTGTTCTCTTTCCAAATTCAATTTTAATGCAGTTCATTAGAAAATGCAATTTTACTCATAATGTTTACATTTTAATCATCATTTCTGATACCATTATTGCATAATCACATAAGGCATGGAAATACAGTTCTGGTAATACAATTACTTTTAATTACAACTACTCATAAAGCATCTAAGTCTCTGTGTAAATTAAATTTTAATACTTGAGCACCAGTGGCAAATTTAAATGGATTTTTTTTTTCTAGAATTTTCATTTTGAGCCAAACTTGCATGTGTGAGTGCAAAATTTAAAGTCAAACTGAGGATTACATTGCCAGTTTGCATATTACATTTTCATTTAAATTGTACTGATTTGCTTCCATACAAAACAGCGAGCTTCTATCATTAAAATTGGTTCAGCTGATTCACCCAGTTGGTCCTTTATAGCCTAGCAACCGTAACTATGCCCAGAATACCTCTGTAAATCTTTACAGTGTGCCGCAGCATAATTGCAAATCTGAAAACTCGCCTAATATTCCCAAGAATTAATCAATTCTCAAACCAAAGACACAAGAGGAGATGTGTAAGATCTCAATTAATGTGTGCTGCCTCTGAAGCTCGGATCAGCGCCGCTATGGCGAGTGGGTTAGTATCCAGCCAACATGGGACCCCTCGAATACCAGGGGGTGTTTCACACACTGTTCTAAACTATGAAACCGCTCGGAGCAAACCAGGTGATTTCCTCAATGGTTACACCCCCCTGAAATGGCCGCATTGCATTTTGGGATGCAGTTTATCATGAAGACAGATCTTGCTGCGTCCGGGAATATTATGGCAGAGCAGTACGTCATCCAGGTATCTTAGGCGTACTGGGAACATTCATGTTAATTCACATGCTGCATACTACTTACTCATTTATTATCTTGTTTTTTTCCCAGCATCTTCACCTGGTGTTAAGTTAACCCTCTACTGCACGTGTTATGAAAGCAATTTAAAAAATAAAAAATATTTGATTTACTTTTCTTGCATAAAATGGACCTGATTACTAAATATCAAAGCATTTAAAAAATAATGTGTGCAGGTGTCATTTTGGGGTATGTTGCCCTGAGGCAACATTGTGCGACAATGGGAAGAAATGATACAGAGCCGTGTTCCCAGAAATGGTTTGTGGCTGGTCAAATCCATTCCACTGCCACACAATGTTGCTTCTAGGCAACAAACATATTTCTGCAATTTCTCATAACAAAAAAAAATACTAAATGTTAAAAAAAGGTTTAAAAGTGGCCACTAAGAGACAGTGTGACAAGAACATGCTTTTTTATTGACATACTCAAACTGTTCCCTTTATTGTTAACCCTTTCATTGTCTTTAAATATGGATAATGTTATTGTAAAGTGAGGAAAACGAGTTTGTTGCCCTGAGGCAACATTGTGCAATAGAGGGTTAAAGTTATCTTGAAATAGTTTTTCTCTTGTCTTTATGTAATTATGTGGCTTTAAAAAGACACATAATCCAAAAGTAACAGAAAGTAATCAGATTATGTTAGTTTAATATGGAAATTCTTTGGATTTGCTTCAAATTTACTTTTTTATTTACTTGCATATATTTTCAAGGCAACTCTTCCAACCCTTTAGACAAACGTGATGTGTCTGACTATTCAAAGGCCAAATGTGTTCAAATTTGTTGCTTTGGTATCTTTTTCTTTTATAGGATCAGAAATACTTTTCTGGGATGACCCACGTAAAGTGGGCATGGAAGTGACGGAGTCAGATGGCACTAAGTATTTCAGGGGTCCTGGACGAGGAACTCCGGTGTACCTGACCCAGGCCAGAGCACTCAGCAGGGACTTCATCAAGGGTGGAGACGCCATCTTCCTTCTCACCATGGAAGGTGAGGAACATTACAATGATTTAAGCTCATTTAGAGACGCTGTACGTGAGGTTTGTATATCTAAATCATTTTTTCAGTGCTTTCAATTCATGAGTACAGTCGCATGCAAAAGTTTGCGCGCCCCTGCTCAAATTCAAGGCCTTGTTCAATTTCTAAGTGAAAGTAAATGAACACTTATGCACACTAAACTTAATATGTGGGGGAAAAATAAAACAGAAACTGTAGCCTGTGCAAAAGTTCTAACACACTTTGTATTTTCTTTTAGTTTTTCTAATATTTTAAAATCTAGCAAATAAATAGAAATGGTGGTCTAAATATTTTTTTATAGTTTTCTATAGCCGACTTATTTTCACTTAGAATAAAGACAAAAACGCAATTTGATCAGGGGTGTTTTCAAACATTTGCATCTGGCTGTAACTGTTGAGTTTTGACGAGCTACTAGTTAAATTTACACCAAGTTGAGACCAAAATGAACCCAGTGAAGTCACCATGTTCACCTCAGCTTACGCTGGGCAAACACTACAAGTAGTTCTGTCAGATTTAAAAATGAAACTGCATGAACAGATTATTTTGTGGCCTAATCAATCTTACAGTTGACAAAGATGAATATTTGATGTTTTCACACAAGGTGACCTGGGTGTAGCGTGAAACTAACAACATTCTGGGATCAGCTTGGGGGGGAAAAAAAGATTTTGATGAAAAATTCTGTAGTGTGAGCCCAGCCATGGGGTATCTTCAAGTTTGACCCAAATCTCAGTTTGTTGACCCGTGAATCTGGGTTTGTTGTACAGCCCTGTGGGCCTGTAACTAAATAATTATCATCAGTTTTATCAATTGTAATTGATTTTCTTTGTTTTTTGCCTTGTAGATATATCCTACCTGGTGCCTTCTCAGCCCCTCCCCTCATCAACAGCCCCTCCCACGAGTGAAACTCCCACCACCACGACCACAAACACGACCGCGACCACGACCACGACCACATCTCCTCATGATCCATGTGCCACAGTGACGTGTGAGAATGACGGGGTTTGTGTGAAGGACAGTGCGACACAAGCGGTGTGCAGGTATGTGTACATGTATGATTAGCTTCCTACAATTACTGTGTTGGACTGGTGGCCTGTCCAGGGTGTGTTCTGTGTTCCACGCTATGAGTGCTGGGATAGGCTTCAGAACCTACATGACCCAGGAGGATAAGCGGCTTAGAAAGTGTGTGTGCGTGTGTGTATGTGTGCGTGTGTGTGTGTGTGCGTGTGTGTGTGTGTGTAGTTTCCTTGAACTATTCTATATAGCATCCAGAAGTGTTCAGTGTCAATCTTGTAACAACCTTATCAAAAGGTTCTACATAAAACTGTCTATAGCACCTTCATGCACATTTTCCAATCTGAAGAACCCTTTTATGACCCTTTAATCATGCGAAGCGTTCTTTGAGTGTTTTCTTTAATAAAGAACCCTTCAGTGTCAAACTTATAACAATAGAATAACCCTTCTGGGTGCTATATGGAAACTTTTTTTCAAAAAGGTTCTATATAGATCCGTCTACAGCACATTCATGCACATTTTCCAATCCAAAGAACAATTTCAGGATGCAGAGAACCCTTTAATCATGCAAAAGGTTCTTTGAGTGTTCTTGGTTCTATATGGAACCATTTTCTTTAATAAAGAACCCTTCAGTGTCAAGCTTGTAACAATAGAAGATCCCATTTTGGGTGCTATATTGAAACCATTTTCAAAAAGGTTCTATATAGAATCGTTTATAGCACACTCGTGCACATCTTCCAATCCAAAGAACCCTTTCATGATGCAAAGAATGCTTTAATCATGCAAAGGGTTCTTTGAGTGTTCCTGGTTCTACATATAACCATTTTCTTTAATATAGAACCCTTCGGTGTCAAGCTTGTAACAATAGAAGAACCCTTTTGGGTGCAATATAGAACATTTTCAAAAAGGTTCTAAATAGAACCATTTACAGCACATTCATGCACATTTTCCAATACGAAGAACCCTTTCATGACGCAGCGAACCCTTTAATCATGCAAAGGGTTCTTTGAGTGTTTATGGTTCTATGTAGAACCATTTTTTTTAATAAAGAACCCTTCGGTGTCAAGCTTGTAACAATAGAAGAACTGTTTTGGGTGTTATATAGAACCATCTGTAGCCCATTTATGCACATTTTTCAATCTGAAGAACCCTTTCATGATGCAAAGAACCCTTTAATCATGCAAAGGGTTCTTTGAGGGTTCTTGGTTCTATCTAGAACCATTTTCTTCACTATAGAACCCTTGAAGCACCATCTTTTTTAAGAGTGTATTTGTTGTCACACTGTATTTTACTTGTCATTAACTGTGGCTCAGTAACTCCACCACATGCCATCCTTTGGCTCTCTGCCTTATTAAGCCTGAAGTTAACCATCACTTCTCTAATTGTTACGCTAAACAGAACTCTCTCTCCGCAGGTGTGCGGTTGGGGGAGACTGGTGGTACTACGGCGACAGGTGTCAGTTTAAAAGCTCGACTCAGGAGAACGTGGTCACGGCGGTCGTGGCCTCGGTCGTGATCTTCGTCGTCATGCTGGTGGTGACGGTGGTGAGCGTGGTGTGTCTGAAGAAGAAGTACACGCGGAAGATGAACGAGATGGGTGGCGGCATCGTCATGAATAACATGTCTATAAAATCCTGAAGCTTTTAATACACATTCCATTAATAACGCAGAGGAACTCATAATTAACCTGTGCTTCAGGACGCCTGTGGGCTCTCGCTGTAATTGGTTCTCAGGTAAATTACCTGAGGGCTCAAATCAGATCAGCATGCATTTCAGAGATGCATCGTTTAAGGATCTTCTTCATTTCCATATATATTTGATTCCGGCAAACTTCAATTGCCTCTTTTTTAATGTGAATTTTTTCTGCCGTATTTTAATTGTATGTGACTCAGTAAATATCTTGTTGTTAATTCAGCTCATTTCATTCTTTTCTTCCTAAAACCTGCTGAAATGTGTTTAGGCTTCACTATATGTCCAAAAGTTTGTAGACACCTTTCTTCTGAAATCAAAGGTATAAATAGGGAGTTTGCCCCCCTTTGCTGCACTAACAGCCTCTACTCTTCTGGAAAGGCTTTACACTAGATGTTGAAACATTGCAGTGAAGATTTGATTGCATTCAGCCATAAGAACATTAGTGAGGTCAGGTACTGATGTTGGATGATCAGTTCTGGGCGACGCTTGTCATTGGGCATGGTGACCTCATGTGCGACTGCTCCGGGCCATCCCATTCTATTGCTCATGCTTTTCTATGGAGGTCAGAGTAGCACTACCAGACTTATTAAGCAATGTTCTGATTGGACAATGCAGGATTAAAAACAAGAATGTTCTTTGTTTCTGATGACACTGGTCTTGTCAGTGAGCCAGAAACCACAGCAAGACCATACAGACCTGGTTACAGTTACAATGATACCAACACGTCAAGCATATGCAATAACACTGACACCTAGTGGCTTCTCTGTGAAAGCACAGGATGGGTGCAAGGTCAACAGCATGGTAAAAGCTATTCCACTGTAGAGCTTTAAAGGGTGACTTTAAAGGGTGACTTTAAAGGGTGACAAGAACGTAAATGTCAGAGCTAATGATGATATTGATATTAGAGGAGAATGGACCGTGTTAAAGAGCCCCTGTACTCAAAAATGTGTTTTTAAATGGTTAACCTCTCTTGGATGACTTATTTTTACAGATTGGTATTGGTGTCAAGTGTGTAGCTATAATGCAGAGTTTTTTCCATTGAAAACACAGGCTGGTCCAGTGTGTGTGTGTGTGCTGGGGTGCTACATAGCATCTTAGTACAATTAAGCTTCAACCCATCATGGCCCAATGTAATAAAATATGCCTATGAGAGGATTATAACAAAAATTAATCAGATTATGCCATGTTGACCAAATACTTACAGCCACAGAGAGCAAACCACATAGCAAACATATATCGGTCTGCCGGCTTGATAAGGTCAGCACCTTAGTGACTGTTTGCCACTGCTGGTCCACCCAGATTACTGTCCTGCATACAAGCACTAACAAGTTTTTAATCTCCCCAAACACATTTTAAATGCACATTGCATTTTATTTAGACAAATATTACCAACAACTGAGAGAAAAAAGTAATGACTGGGCCTGATGTAAAGTGATGTTATAGAGAATGTTGTTGCCGACACTGAGCTGGATTAAAATGATTTACTAATTTACAAAGTATAAACAAAGAAAGAAGGAAAAAATCAGTAATTTGGACCGTGAGTGGAAAATGAGCAATAATAGGTGAAATTTTGTCCAATGCTCTGCGTAACCACCAGTGGGCCACCCAGAAAACAGTCAGCAAAAAATCTTCTTGATATCAGGGAAACACTAGCATAGCTAACCTAATGTTTGAGATGTTTGGAGTGTGTAGTTAACAGTTAGCTAAAATAATTAGATGACGACAGCATTTAATCTTTACTCCACATCCATCTAATCTGTCAAATATGATATGTTGAACTGTTGTCCTAGTAGCAGGCAGCCGTAGCTTAGCATGATACAAATTCCCACACCACTTTCAGTGTTAGCATAAGGCACTAACTAGCTTAGCAAGCAGGCCAAAAAATCTGTCTCACTGAGGTTCCATGGACACAACTTTGGAAAATAAAGACTCAAATCTGAGGCAGTGAACTGTTTTTTGTGTGTGTTGAGCTGTTAAAATGTGCTAATCTTGCTCCTTTGCTGTCCTTGGAAGCGTAAGAGACTAGCATTAGCTTAGACTAAAACAGTTTAATACACCACAACATGGGTTCAACATCTGCAAGTTTGGGGGAAAAAAGACTAAAATCTGAGTGAGTTGAGTTGCTGGTGCTTGAGGGCCAAGGCCGACTCTAATTTGTTCTGTGGTGTGTTGAGCTAAGTGGTCAGCCTGTCCAGTTAGTGCTAGCATAATCAGGGTCTACTTTGCTTTTCTTCACACAGTAACTGCAACTGTTCAAGTTCAGCTTATGGTTTAACATTTTCTGGGTGTTGATTTGAAGATTCTGATAGTTTATATTCTGATTATTAATGTTACAGCAGGAGCTTATTTGTTTCTGCAGCTCAATCTGTTCAAACATGGAGGGCTGTACTCCTAATCACCCAACCCAGATAGCAAGCATGTATCGGTCTGCTGGCTTAGTAAGGTCAGAACCAGAGAACTTGTAGAGAGGAGAATTACCACTCTGTAATGTCTTCTGGGTTTCTCAAACACTAGAGGGCGCCCCTGAGTGAGTCCAAAATGAATGGGTTAAGATGGAGCATTTGAGGCAAAATCATAGTTTATAAATGCTTAAACATTTTTGATGTAAAAGAATGCGATCACTGCCCGAACACAGAATGGCACAAAACACTGCTGTTATATTATATTATGTTATAAGAGCTTTTAAACTCGAGCTATAGAGGTGAGTGCAAGCAGCCAATGAGCTGCTCCGCTCGGCAACCAATCAGCACTTAGTAGCAGTAATGTTAGCGTCCTGCTGCCCAAAACCTGCTGTAGAAAAATGAAACACACAGGTGAGTTTTCCTTGTTTTGTTAGTGAAATACATCCTTCTACTTTCTAAAACTAAAGGAAAGTTCTGGGCGAGTGATTAGAAACTATTTTAACTTCTCGTTTTTAGCCGTTGAGCTCCATTTACTCCCATTTACTCCCATTTATTGAGGACTCGCTCGCAGGCGCCCTCTGCTGTTTAGCAGTCCTGTTTTTGATATAACGGGGGAAATAGGAAGTGGCCAGGCTCCTCATAAACCAACTCTGGGTCAGCACCCCGCTGACTGTTTGCCACTGCTGGTCCTCCCTCGGACCACCCAGATTATTGTCTTGCATAAAAAGACTAACTAGTTTTTAATCTCCTTAAACAGGTTTTAAATTTACAGACTTTTATTTTGGAAAATAAACATTTATCACAACCAGTTGAGACAGGCCTAATATATAATTACTCTGTTGAAAAATTAGTTGTTGACACTGTGCTACATAGGTTACAGCTGCATAACTGGCTTTATTTATGATGTTGCTGTTAAAGTTTTTTACTAATTTTGAAATGATAACGAAAGAAGGAAGAATAAGTAAATCGGACTGTAAGTGCAAAATGAGTGATGTAAAGTCGGCTTTTGTCTAATTTGCTTAACTACCAGTGGACCACCTGGGAAAATGATGTGCAAAAAAGCCACCCATCGTCTTGCTATGTGGGAACGTAAAAAGCACAGCTTCCCAATTGGTGAAGGGGTTGGTTTGGAAATGATGTGGCAAGGGAGCGTTTACAATTTGCATAATTCATATGCATACATGCATATTCATAAATCTTTACACTCGTAATGAAAAATGTGCCAATTTTAGCACGTTCCTGGGCATAACAGTAATACAACATTATTTAACAAAAATATTTGTCATTTTTTATGTTTAAATTATGACTAAGTGGCATTTTAAAAAACTCACAATAAAGATAAAACTCATTGTTTACCTTACCTTTGTGCCCAAAAACAACAGAACAAGGAGCCTTAGAATGATAAATTTAAGATTTATTATAACAAAAACAGGAACTTGTGTGGTTTGCTTACAATTCCTAATAGATAAATTTGTTTGCATTTCTGGACTCGACAGTCATGCTGGTGACAAAGGGAGAATGAGGTGTTGGTTTGTTTGTGTGTGTTTAACCGGACAGTGATGACGAGACTGAGCATAATGTGCAGTTCGTTTTATGTCCTCCGTTTTTGTGTTTATGCTCTGAATACATATGCGTACTTGCCTGTAAGAGGAAGGAGTAAGCTTGTCATAGACACACAGTTCCTTTAAAAAGCATCCGTATACAATATTTCTTATTTACAATCATTGGAAAATCACCATTTCTCGCAGAGAAGATTAGTAAAAAAGTGACTAGGTCACCATAAAAGAGTAAGCAACTCCTAGGAGTTAGTCTTTCCAAATTACTACTAAATTTCTATTTTTTACAGGCCTGAAGCCTTGATTTAGTGAAGAAATACAGTCTTACATAAGTGCCCTATCTACAACAGATAAGCGTGGTATTATCGGTGTGTACTACACATCACCATCCATTTCAAACAAAACGATTCTGAGCATTTCTTTTCTTCTTTTCCAAATCATTTCTTTTAGAAGTCTCTTGCAGCATTTCCACACATAAAAAAAAGATATGGTAAGTTCAAAATAAAAAACAGGAAATCACAAAATCCGTAATTTTGTCGTGTGGTAATGCGTTAACATTGCAAGACTAGTGTTGAATTCTATAGATACTGTTTCTTTATGTAAATAAATGCTAAACAGTCAGTAAATCAGTAGTGAACTGCTTGAGCTCTTAAAGGGGTGTGGCACAAAGTAGTGTGCAGGGCAGGGCTGAAGTCTCTTAAAGGGATTGGCTGATGTAAGTTCCTATTCGTCGGCTTGCAGGAATCGGGGTCGTTGCCGCGGTCGTGCGGATGTATGGCGCAGCAGCCCAATGGCGTCTTTCACATGTGCTTGAAGATGCCGGACGCCACTGTATGTACTGCAGACTGTTTAAGGTTAAAATGTCTCGGTTAGCTCCTCTCCAAAGATGCGTTTGTGGGTATATTCGATTATACTGATCATATTCCACATCATCAGTACTTGGTTTGATTCCATAAAGGGCCACCATGTCTACTGGATTCAAACCATATACCACGACACCTGACATCACTAAGCAGATCTCCTTCCGTCTGTTGCAGGAATGGTTTGGCAAAAAATTACACAACCGTACTTTTAACCCGTACTTTTACTTTTAATTACAGTGTCCAAATTCTGCTTGTTTAGTTTAAACTGGAGCTGCGAGGCTAATGTTGCTAACACTAAAAAGCAATAGTCACCCAAATATTTTCTGCAAATATATCCCAAAAACTTCTATCTAGATTACCTACATAATTTCTGTTGCTTGTTGCTTAAATGTTAAAATTACTGTTAAATCTTGAATTTTATATTTGAAGCTATATATATATATATATATATATATATATATATATATATATATATATATGTATTTCTAAACAGAATAAACAAAATCATGAACGTTATTTAGTGCAACGGTCTTAAACTTGGAGGGAAGTCAGGTTCTGTGTGGGAAACAAAACGCCTTCTTCCTAAACTGGCTGACTGCAGCATTTGGCTACAAGGTGAAGTTCTGTATATTATAATAACTCACAGCAAGTCATACTATGTCCTAAACCGAAGACCTGGATGAGTTATGAGACGGTTTAGAGAAGTTCAGGGGATGTATTTACAGAAAGGATCTGGGTGACTACAGACCTCTAGAGTTTGTTGGCAACTTTGTAGCTCCAGAGCTAAGCTAAAAAAGCAAAATGTGGACATGAAACTATCTTGGCTGATCGACTACGTCTGTGTTGAGTGGAAAAACTGTGTAAATTAAGATTTTCTGCCAAAACTCCTTTAAGGAAAAGAGCTTGTTAGTGAACTAAGGGGGTGCTGTTCCAATCCTAAAACAAATACTTAAACCAGTGGTCACCAACAGTCCTCCTGGAGATCTACCCTTTACCTTCAACCCGAATCTAACACACCTCATTCAGCTACTCGAGAACTTCTGAAGGCAATAATTAGATGGATCAGGTGGGCGGATTAGGGTTGGAGCTAATTTCTGGAGGAAGGTAGCTCTTCAGGAGCAGAGTTGATGACCACTGGTTGTAGACACTGTGGCAAAGGTCAAGGAGCAGGCCTTTATACAAACGCAAATCCCAGTCCTCTTGGACACCTGTACTGCACAATTTAACGATCTTCCCCTTTTAGCTTACTGGCTAATTATTTCACCTTTTGTGTACTCAGGTTGGTCACAGGGAAAACAGAGATGCACCAAGAATGGTAATGCGTAACTCTGCACTAGGGCAGACCTTGTCCTGGAGATCCACTGTCTTGCACTGTCTTGTCATGTTTTCGCTGTCCCAGCACACTTGATCCTGCTCATCAGGTAATCATCAACACTTTGACACCATACAAGGCAGTGGATCCTCAGGACTGAGCTGAGAAACACTGCTCTATGGGAATGGTTTCCAATCCACTCCTTGGGCACCCCGAGATGGTCCACAGCAGGTTACCAACCCTACTTATGGAGATCTACCTTAATTCAGATTTCACTGTGTTAGATCTGTTGTGTTAGATCTCAAATCTAACACACCTCTTTCAGCTTACAAAGACTTCTGAAGGCAATAATCAGATCAGGGGTGTCCAATCTTATCAGCAAAGGGCTGGTGTGGCTGCAGGTTTTCATTCCAACACAGCAGGACCACATCTGATCAGTTGTTTGAAGACTTACCAATTAATTAAACAAGAAGAGTCAGCTGTGCTCCTGTTTATTTAGAATAAAAACCTGGAGCCACGTCTGCCCTTTGTGGATACCACTGAATTAAAGAGATCAGTTGGGTTCGACAGTTGTTGGAGCAAAAGTCTGTGGGAAGGCAGATCTCCAGGAACAGAGTTGGTGACAACTGGTCCACAGATTGTCCTTTCTCTCTCAGAATCCAACACATCGGAAACAAGAAATCAAGGACTGAACTTCTGGTACAGGTGTGCTGGGAGCTGAGATGCAGCAAAATGTAGACCGTCTGAGGTTTCCTGAGGACAAGGTTGCAAATCAATTTCATTCATGCACACTTAAAAATAAAGGTTCCAAAATGGTTCTTGACTTGGTCATGTAGATCTAGGAAAAACCTTTAACTGGTTACATTTTGAGGAGGTTCTTTGAGCTTTACAAAGGTTTGTCAGGTTTGCATATCTCAATCAAAAATAGTTTTCCATCCACTGACAGGTTCTTTAGGAAATCAAAAGTAGTTCCATGGCATTGCTACGAAGAACCCTTTTAGGCACCTTTATCTTTAAGACCATGGGAGTCCAGCACGGTTTGGTGACATCCCTGCATAATCACACCTACTAAACCTGATGCATTGAATCAGGAAATTACATAACTGTGATGGACTACATCCCCCAGGACCAGAAGTGATGATCCCTGCTCTACGGTGCAAGTATATGTATTTTATTAGAGTGGTGTATCATAATAGTCGGTGGGCTGGTCGCTCTTGGCGGGCCTTTGCTGCTCCTGCTGATGCTGCTTCATGATCTCCTTCACCTCCTCCTCCAGCTCGGGTGGGATGATGAACTGGTCATCTGGGTCGGGCTGTGCAGGTGCCGTGAAGTATCCCCCGGACTTTTTAGAGGGCTCATCGGCGGCCACCTCTATAAGGTTATGGCTCCTTTCCTGAGGTGCCACCGAGCCGTTCCCTCTCCTCTTCCCCCCAAGGGTTTTGCTTGGAACTTCGGTGGTTATCCCAGGGTTGCCCACTTTCTCAACTTGCTGATTGCTGGTAGCAATGGCTGGTGCTGCCGTCTCTGCTACCAGGTCAATGGGACCAGCCTCTTCAGGAGCCTCAGGGGTGGATGGTGGAGGAGGGGGTGGAGGAGGAGGTTGCAGGAGGTGCAAACAGTGGATATCAGCCTCTACTTCCACTCGGCTGCCGTTGGAAAAGACTCCAGCAATGGGTTCCTCGTCCTCGCTGTCCAGGCCGTTATCAGAAAGTGCGCTGGAGAAGGTTGCGCTGGACAGCTGCCGCTGGAAAGAGCTTGCCGCTGCCATGATGGAGGTTGCCACTGTGCATGAGGTGGCACCCGCCGTGACGGAGGAGGCTGGGTGGAGAGAGCAGCAGGGGAGGAGGCGGGTATTCGGGTTTGGCTGCAGAGCCTGGTGGGTCTGCTGGTGGAGGTGCAGGTGGGCCTCTTGGAGCAGGATCTGTGGTTCATCTGAGGAAGCGGTAGAACCCACTTCTGAGCTCATCTCTGAGGCGCTGACCTCTGAGCTGATCTCACTGCAGGAGGATGGTGGCACACCCGCGGAAGAAGAGGGCGGGTAAAGGCCCGGTCCAGGGCTTGGAGGCGGCTGAGGAGCAGCAGAGGAACAGCAGCAGCAGCAGCAATCCTCGGCCACGCTCAGTTGCACTACCACGGCACTCAGGCTGTCTGTGCAGCCATACGCCTGTGCCAGAGTGCATAGCTTCTTGGCAGCGGCCAGAGCGTCCGGAACCTTACGTACCGCCTCCACTGCTTCGTCTGGGTCCAGCGCTTCGAACAGGCCACGGCTGCCCAGGATGAAGAACTCATCCCGGGGAGTTAGCGTGAGCGTGTGCACATACGGTCGAGGGAGTACAGCAGGATACAGGAAGGAGTAGCCCATGATGCGAGTGGAGTCTGTCACGCCGTTCACTTTGTTGTCCTGTTGAAGCAGAGAAGCAGTGTTATATCCAGCAAAGATTCAAGACCGCTCTGACAGCTTTCTGAGACTCCGTTAGAAATACAATGAAAAGAAAATGTGATTTGACTATCAAAAAATGTGAGTGATATTGCTTTCAAACATTATTAGGATTCTGAGTAAATAATTTCTTGGAGTCATAATAAAACAGTCTTTAGCTGAGCTACTAGTACTTCAGTGATCATGTCTGCGTATAGCTGCACTATACCTCAGTGATGATGACTGTAGCTACAGCAGTAGCTGTAGTTTAGCTCAGTAATAGTGTAGGTTAAAAAACTAGCTGTTGTTACTTCATTGCCGATAACACTAGCTAGAGCGCTAGGTGCAGTCTACATCATAGATAACAACTTTAGCCAAGTCGCTAGCTCTAGTTTACCTCAGTGATATTAAGTGTAGAGTGATTGTGGCACTTTACCTTAGTGATAAGTGCAGCTAAAGCACTAACTGTACTTACTTCAGGGATAACACTAGCGAAAGCGCTAGGTGTTCTTTACTTCAGTGGTAACAACTGTAGCTAAAGTGTTAACTATAGTTTACCTCAATTATATTAATTGTAGCTAGTGGTATTTCATTTTTAAAGTGTAGCTAAAGCACTAACTGTAGTTATGTAATGTAGTGATGATGCTCGAGCAGGAGCTGTAGTGAACTATAGTGATATCAACTACAGCTAAAAAGCTAGCTGTGTTTTCCTTAATGATAAAGGTTAACTGTAGTTCACTTCAGTGATGATAACTGTGATGATTAAGCGCTAGTTGTAGGACCTTCAGTTATCTGAAGTGCTAGCTGCAGTTTACCTCAGTGATGATGGCCTTGTGCTGCCGGACACGACTGTATTCCTCCTCCAGGCCGATGTTGTGCAGCAGCGAAAGCGGCAATGCTTTGCCATCACGACACAGCACCGCCTGGCACTTGCCCACGTTGGCAGCTGTTAGCGTGAAGCAGCCTGTTGGATCTGTGGGGTCGTGCCGTATGTGGCAGAGGACCGCCGAGCCACCTAGTTTTTGACCAGCTGTGCCCAACTTCCTGTGTGGAGAGACAGTGGACGAAAGAGGTTTTAATATAGTCGCCATGAGATTTGGTCATATGGTGAATCTGCTATATTTATGAAGAGACTGTCGCTGTCATAATAAAACCTTGCGACTCCAAAAATAGATAAATAAATTCATTAATAAAATGAAAAAATAAACATTCTCAAATTTGAATAGAAGTTAATGGAACAACACTTTTTACAATGTATTTCTGTGCCTTTTTTATTGCTCCATTTATCATGAAATTTTAGCATACTGTAAACAGACATTTTGTAAAAAAACTGTGTAAAAAAAACACCAAAAAATGGAAATGGGGTGTAAAAATGTCAGTCTGAAGGTGATTCGACTGCACCAATCAAACCAATTCTAATAATATTAAACAGAATAGGCAGAGTTGTTTTGTTTATAAGCCTAGTTTATTTAATATATATTAAATAAACAAACAAATAAATAAATATATTAAATATTAAATATTCTCCCCACTACTGTGTAAAATGTTCCTCCGGCTCCATTTCCTTTTCAGTGTATTCTTTTTCTGATTCGTACCAAACGCAAAACCTGAAATTTGAGATTTCATCATGTGCTGAATCATTTCCCAATAAAACTGACAGTGATTTGAGTCCCTTAGAAGTCAGAGATTTACTTCCACAAAGTTTTGTAATGTATCTTATACTGTACTGCCCCTGTCTGTGAAGTGCTACTAATCCTGTGTACGTCTCACCTCTGCATGACGAGGAAGGTGTTGGTCATGTAGTCTTCCTCGCTCTTGGTTCTGTGTAGCTCCTCGGCCAGTATGTCGTTCATGGTGCACTGCAGCAGATAAGGCACCTCCACGTTCCTGTCTCCATCGAACACTCCGTACAGAGCTTCTCGACTCCCACAGAAACTGCTCACTGACAGCGCTGCAACACACAGTCTGAGCGCCACACACCAAAACACAGATTAGTTCACTTATTTAAAGAATTCCCTCACAGTTAATGCATTTATTCATTTCTTTAAATTAAGGGGAATTCCACCAATATTTCAAAATTTATAACTTAAGCATTGGGATGTAAACATTCATGTCAGTCATTCAGAGTGGTTTGGTGTGAAATGGTTCATTGAAGAGAAACTTATAGACTCATATTACTTTACAATGATGGTGACAGTCTAATTCTAAAATCAGGGGCATTAACATAGAGTTGGCCCCCTCATTGTGACTACAACACCCTTCTCTCTACTGGGAAGCTTTCCTCAAGATTTTGGACTGCATGTGTGGGAATCAATCAAAGAGGTCAGGCCTGGCGCACAATTGATGTTCCAATTCATTCCAAAGGTGTTCAGTGGGGTTGAGGTCAGCGCTCTGTGCTTCATACCAAACCCGCCCAACCAAGTCATTCTGGATGGAGTTTGTGCACAGGGCTGGAACAGAAAGGGTCTTCCCCAAACTGCTGCCACAAACTTGGAAGCATGCATTTTTTTTTTTTAATGTCTTGGTCTGCTGTAGCATTAACATTACTAATCACTGCAACTAAGGGGCTCAAACCCTGAAAACAGCCCCAGACCATTATCCCTACTCCACCAAACTGTACTGTAAGCCCTATACATTGCAGTAGGTAGGGATCTACTGGCATCCACCAAACTCAGATTCCTCATCAGTACGACCCATTCTATTGCCGATGTTTGTCTATGAAGACTGCATGGCTATATGCTTGATTTTAAACACCTGTTAGCAATGGGTGTGGCTGAAACCCCTGAACTCAATAACTAGGTGGGATGTCCACATACTTTTGGCCATATAGTGTACCTCTCCGCCATGAATGGATTTTAGGCCAAAATCTTCTCAAAACTGTCATAAAACAGTGTCTCAGAAGTTTACCTGGGTGCTATTTTGCCTCACAAGCCTATCCCTTCACCATGGATGGATTTCTAAGAATACACAGGCTAAAAACCTAAAAGTATCATAAAAGTATCACCTCAGGCTTCAGGTAGCATAACTATTTCACGTAATAGCTTGATTATTAACTGATGGAGCTTCTAGAGGCATTAGACTCTTCAGATGTTTGGTTCCCATCACCACCACTGTGAACAATTCTGACAAGTTTCTCTACAGGGAACCATTTTCGCATCAATTCACTCTGAATCACTTTGTTTACATCTTAATCATTTAATTATGTGGAAACTTTTAAAACTTTTCAAAACTTTGAAATAAAATAAGCTACACATCCTCTACAGCGAACACACCGCTGCACATTTGAAAACTCTTTATTTATTTATTTTGGGGTGAAAAAAATTAAACGTAGCCTGTGTAAAAGTTATGGCACAGTTTCTATTTTACATTTTAATCTGTCCCAAAATGTTAAACTCAACAAATAAACAGAAATTGTGCACTACAACTTACAGAAAAATGTCATATTTAAGCTTGTTCCCTGTAGAGGATGTGTTCCGTAATTTCACGGTCGTGTTTGACTGTATGTTTTATTACATTTATAATCAGTTTTATTTGTTATTTGTTTTTATTTCGACCCTTCTATTTAGCCTGGCTGTCAGTGGACACTGGTCTTAAATACATGACGTCAACACAGCTTTTCATGTAACAGAATCTGAGTTCCGAACTGGCATATGGACTGATATTACTGAGTTTAGTCTATTTTACTGTCATTAAATTAAACAAGGATGGTGTCATATTGACTCCCTCAGTGGCGCAACCATCTAAGGTCGGGGAGGTCACTAATTGGAATCTTTGTGCTGCCAAAAAAAGTTGCTAATTATCTGTGTGTTATCGCTGATATCGTCAATATCGATATCAGGCAATATTATCAGCCAACCGTTATATCGGTCGGGCCCAACTCAGTATAAGTACGGTAAAATAAGTACAGAGGTAGTACAAACTTATACATGTTCAAACATAAAATTGTGTCTGAATGTCGTTTACTTGTTCTTCACTCCTGAAGCCTCCGTGTATCCGTGGCTCCACACAGCCGGACCCCCTGCAGCCTCACTGACTGAGAATGAAGTCAGTGGCGGGTCGATCCGGAAACAGCGGATGTTGCTGCAGGAGAATAAACGTCACAGTTAGCATGAAAGTGCCAATCAGGATACATTAAGGGTTGCGTAGACTAGTTGACTGGTCATGTAACGAATCCACTAATCGGCACTAAAAAAAAAATACTTCATTAATGTGGAAATACTACATGAGATAAAACCAATTCCACTGCAAACTGCGTGAGATCATGCTGAAATACAGTCAGACTGTGTAGTTTTTGAGAACCACCATTATCCATCCAGCAGGACTGTGAAACAAATTCAGCAGCACAAAGGAAGCAGACAGAGGGGTACATTTATAATCATTACTTTTTTATGAAGTAAACTGCCTCAGTCATTCAAAACCAAGGAGAAATCTTTCAGCCACTGTGGGTTAAATCAGTATCTGCGCTCAGTTAGATGAGGGTGGTTGTCGTTTTCTACACAGGATAAGTTATTTTCAGCTCAGTGGACAATAAAATAATGTACAGTGAAATCATTTTCAATAGTAAGACACTTGACTGAGCGAGAAGACACTAACTTTGTACCTATTTTCTGTCCTATTTTGTCTTAAACATCTAAACATGGAGGCATTGTAGCACTGTGGAACATTTGTACAGTGTCAACTTTGCCACCAAGCATATCTCCTTTATTTGGTACTAAATCCTAAAGTTCACTTCAGAAAAAATTCTTGAATAAATGTTTTTTCACTCCACTGATTATATCTTGCACTGAAAGATTACGATCACTACTAGCATTTACCTTGTTCGTTTGTTTCTGATCTGACTGATTAAACTAGTGCACAGAAGCGCAGAAATTCACGAGAGGTGAGACTCTGAGTGTTGTGGTGATTATATAAAGCCACAAATGCAGTTTCACAGGTCCTCTCGGTTTTAGTGTGCAGTTTACATCAGAGCAGAGCCTTTGAGCCTGAGACTAAAACACCACAAAAACTCTTCCATAATGCACTGCAATGCACTGTTGCCTGTTTCCATACTGCTTTTAAACATGCGCTTGTCCACTTTCCCCCATTATTTCCCCTCGGCGGAATCCCTGAAACCACCTGAAGTGCCGTTTCATTACTTTTCTAGCTCACGTGAAGTTTAATGGGGAAGAACTCGGAGGGGCAAGGGACTGAGTGAACACGTGTGGATTTCAGCAGCAGAACCTGCCCAGAAATCATAGTGATCTGACGCATTTCCCTTTTTAAACTCGAAAATAATAGTGGACGTAGCTGTTTATAAGTCGTCGCAGTAAACTACTTTAAAATGCTTAACATTTCTAAGCCATAATATCTGTTCTGCTTTGCTTGAGGTTACAAACTACACCATCTGTAATGACTGCTGATATAACGTCATCATACTATACAGCTAACAACAAAAATAAAGGCATTACACCGCTGTCTTACGTTAAAGTTTATAGCCAGAAAAAAGCAATTATCCACAAATTTCATGTACGCTTTGATCAAACTTTTTTTTAATGCATTGTAAAAATCTGATTAGCTCACTGAGACGTTTGAAAAATCCCCTCCTCCCCTTCTGCAGCACGTGGCCACTTGTATAACATAGGTGTGACGCACATCCATGTAATGAGCTGAAGTTGACGAGGGTATATTAAAATGAAAACTTGAAATATTGAAATGCAGCCCTTTAAAAGTCCATGTTTTTATTACAGGAGTTATCATGACCAGTGACACAAAAAATGTTCTGTAAGAGATTAACATGTTAAAAGTTCTAACCTGACTAATTCACTGTGCATAAACAAAAGCTCTCACATCATTCACAGTGTCTTACTTGAGCTGCTCGAGGGTTTTGTGGTCCAGGTTGAGTCGGGGGTTTCCTGTAAGGTCGAGCTCTTGCAGCTTCGGAGGCAGATTCTCAGGCAGCGTGATCTCCATCAGCTCATTACAGCTCAGATCCACACACTGCGGAGAAGACGAGAGAGGATTAAGGCTTAGAAACATGACGTTATTTCATATTTGAAGCCGAAAATGCAGATTGTTGCCGAAAATGCAGATTGTTCCACATTTGTTTTTGGGTTTCTAAGTGGTATTTTATTATGAAAGTCACTGCTGCGCATACAGTTCTGTTATGCAGACAGATAAAAAAACCTTTACATTTGTGCCATGTTTGATATCAAATGTAATCTATTAGGAAATTAACGATCAGGGATGTGCACGGGTACTCGAGTACTCTGTGAACTGTTCGAGCTGCAGTTACTCGAATACTGAAATCACAGTTCGGGTGTTTGTTACGTTTCATTGCAGAAAGACTGAAAATACACAGGCTAACAATGCAGTGAAATCCAACAGCTCAGTGTGCTGTTATACGTTCGCACCTTCCAGATCAGTAATAAATCATTACTGATATGGTAATATTAGTGGTAACAAGTTGTTCTTCAAGTTGCTCCTTACAGTAACAAGTCAGTAATCAAATGTTAAAATAATAATAACACACTGTACTATTTTAAAAATGATGTGCTTTAAAATAGAGCAGCTGTATTTTGCCAACAGGTAACACAGAAGGAACATGTGATGCATTTTCCAGCCCTGACTGTGTAATTTCAGCACATTCACTTCATCCGTTCCTGGGTAGGTGGCCTACATGTAAAAGTAATAGTACAACCATGACTGATTCTAATAGGTGTAGGAGTTTAGTCATCAGTTTGGTGAAATTATTCACACTATTCTGAAGAACTGATGCTAACCCCTGATGCGAGATGCAGTAAATGGGAAAGAAGATGTAAAGAAATGAGTTTGCCAGCTTTAACACCATTTAGTTATTCTGTAATTACAGTCTGTGCATCACACTGCGCCTGACCATTTAAATACATAACAGGCAAGAAACTAAGCAGAAACAAGTGAATTGGTATTTTACAGCATTGATACTACATCGTCTCAGCAGATCTACTTCATTTTTTGAGGTAACAATCCTAATATTATAAAACCCTATAAGGATTGAAAAGAAAAGGGGTGATATGTTAATTAAGCAGATGTTGTGAGATGTGATGTAAGAGCTGAACACCTTATCCCTATAAATGTTAAAAATAAATAAAATAAAGAAATAAAACAAAAAATAAAGAAATAAAACACAAACTAATTGTATACTATTACCCACTTTTCACCTCCCCTGTAGGAGTTATACACAATAATTATTAAGCAACAAATGTGCAGTTTACCATTACCAACGACTTTATATGTAATTAATACTGTATTTTGCACTTCTGGTTAGATGCTAACTGCATTTCATTGGCTCTGTACCTGTACTCTGCACAGTGACAATACAGTTGAATCGAATCTAATCTAAACTAGTTTCATCTTCAATTGCAATTTTTAAGTTGGTACAACTTGTTTCTGTAATATTACCATATCATTACTCACTGATTAAGGAAGTGGCTGAGAAAGCAGAACCACTCTAGCTGATCTTAGCTATGTCCTGCACATTGTCTACTGAGGATAAAAGACCGTGCGCAGACGAGGACGAGTCCTCATCAGCATCCAACGTGACACTTGTTAGCTCTATTAGTTAATTAGCTCATCTGAAGAGGCAGCCTTTGTTACTCCTCTGGCACAAAAATGTACCAATGTCCCTTAACCGGTTTTTAATGTGTTCAACTGAATATCCGTTCAGGAACTCTTACTGATACTCGAATACCAAAACTAGCTGGACGGCACATTCTTATTAACCGTGTAATTCATGTAGGTACAATTAAAAAGCACAGCAAAGGGATAATAATAATAATAACAACTATAAGAAGATTATCTTATCCAAAACATTTAAAGCCTAAAAAAAAAGATATTAAATCTGTTGGCCTGTGTGTAAACTGACCTTCATGTCCATGAGCTGCATGACCTCTGGGAACACCTCGATGGCGTTGGAGTGAGCGATGAGCGTGTGCATGCGCCTGCAGTTCAGGATGGTGGTGGGCACTGCCTTTAGCCTGTTCCCACTCAGGTCCACCTCCTCCAGCTCCTCCAGCTTCGCCATTTTACTGCACAACAACAGAGATGCATGGTTTGGTGAGTGTGTCTGTATGCAGTGCCCCCCCCCGCCCCACACACACACACCAGCACCCTCAAGTACACCAATAGCAACCCAAGTACATTTAATCCCATTTTAATAATATCCAATTTGTCCCATTTAAAAATATTTAGACAGAAAATATTTTGTAATGATTTAGTTTATTGACACACTAATGCATCACATGAATAAGTCTTTTAGTGGCTGTAAAGTTTTGGTGCTGTAAACTTTGGCCTGTGCTGTTTACTGTAACCCGTACCCGGGACGTTGGCTGTAGATCAATATTCCAAAATGAACGTACTGTACTTTGTGTATGTGTTACCTGGCTGGGAAGGTCTGCAGGTGGTTGTACGCGATGTGCAGTATCCTCAGGTGTGTGTGTCCGGTCAATAGAGGCACACACTTGTCGGTGAGGTGGTTATTGGTCAAGTACAGCTCCTGAAGAATACTGCTGCTCTCCTCTGATAGGCTGGAGGGCGGCAGGCTCTCCAGTTTATTGGCTGAGGCATTTAGGCACCTTAAACTGCAAACACCAACGACAAGGGTTCACTCTGATCACGCAGTAGGACACACAATTATGACTACACTGTATTTTTGGTATAACATCGTTCTTTTGCAAATGGTGTACGGTAGTATATAAGGTATATAATAATAATAATATAATAATAATAATAATAACCATATGTTTTTTGCATAATATGTTTATGTAAATAAAACAAAAAAATTAATTTTAATATTATATACAAGCATATTAGCATATTATTTTACAGTGGTGAGATGTTATACTGAACACTGGATTATTGTACCTGTCTGATATTACAGTGGTGAGATGTTATACTGAACACTGGATTACTGTATCTGTCAGATATTACAGTGGTGAGATGTTATACTGAACACTGGATTACTGTATCTGTCTGATATTACAGTGGTGAGATGTTACACTGAACACTGGATTATTGTACCTGTCTGATATTACAGTGGTGAGATGTTATACTGAACACTGGATTATTGTACCTGTCTGATATTTCAGTGGAGAGATGTTATACTGAACACTGGATTACTGTATCTGTCTGATATTACAGTGGTGAGATGTTATACTGAACACTGGATTATTGTACCTGTCTGATATTACAGTGGTGAGATGTTATACTGAACACTGGATTACTGTATCTGTCAGATATTACAGTGGTGAGATGTTATACTGAACACTGGATTACTGTATCTGTCTGCTTTTACAGTGGTGAGTTGTTATACTGGATACTGCATTATTGTACCTGTCTGTCATTACAGTGGTGAGATGTTACACTGGACACTGGATTACTCTACCTGTCTGACTTGAGGAAGAGGTTGCAGGGCAGCTCCACCAGCTGGTTGTGCTGGACGTCCAGAACCTCGACCACAGGCCTGTCCACTCGATCAGGCAAACGCTGCAGACGGTTATGACCCGCCAGAACCTTCCTCAGACTGCTACTGCAGAACAACCTGAGACAGAGAGAGAGAGGTAGAGAGGTAGAAAGAGAGAGAGAGAGAGAGCGAGAGAGAGAGAGAGAGAGAGAGGAGAGAGAGAGAGAGAGATAGAGAGAGAGAGAGAGAGAGAGAGATAGAGAGGAGAGAGAGAGAGAGAGATAGAGAGAGAGAGATAGAGAGAGAGAGAGAGAGAGAGAGAGGGGTCAGTACAACCTTTGAAAGATGTGGAGCTGGACAGAGAGAGATAAATGGCAGCTGGAGGGCAGAAAGAGTGAGCAGCCTGCTGTTTAGGGGGGAGGAGTATGTATGGGTACTAGGAAACAGTGAAAACAGAAGGAAAGGAAACGGCAACACATGCTTACAGTTGGAGAACTGGGACCATTACTTATGTTAAAACACAATGTGGACGTGTCCGCCAATGACCACCCACTATCCAGTGATGAGTGAAATAAGCGGAATTCATTTCTGACAATTTCCAGAAAAGTAAATATAATTCATATTTTTACAAATTGGTGCTTATTTAAACTTGGTTTTATTTGGCTCCTTTAAAAATCAGCATTTTATAATTTGGCCACATGGTGGTGCTGAATAATTGGTGGTGCGGAGGAAAACAGGCTGATGCATGTAGACAGTAGATCTGTGCAAAAGAAGCAACAGATTCAGGAAAGAATAATCAGTAAAGCCAGTTACAGCAAAATACACAGGATCTGTCCACGTAGGAAATACTGCTAATTTATCTTCTCACAACAAACAAAATGCAGCCTGTACAGTAGAAGCCTTTTATATACCAGAGTGAGTGGCAAGCAGTGCAACACCACACACAAAGTTTACTCTCTTTCCTTTTAAACAATAAACAATAGTGGTCTTTGTGGTTTCATGATGACTGGTGGGGCATCGCCCCTCTAAATGACCCTGTGATGCTGGGCCAGATCCTATTGCTCTGTAACAATTATAGCTGATGATCGTCAAATAAATGATTGAGATGGTCTTTTTTTTCATTTTATGCAACTAAATAGGCTGATTAGCTATCTTTCTTCCTAGCTCTCCTTACTTTGTAGCCAACACTAAGCCACACTGATATGAAATGATAGTGTGAGTGCACAATCACAAGTGTCCACAGTTACACACCATCATCTGCAGAGTAAACAAAGCTTACGTTTTTCTTAAAACTGTAAAAATGTGTCGTTTTTTGCAAGCATACGTGCAAAATTAAGTGTCCGTATCTAACAAACAAGCAAGCCCAAAACATTTCCCAAATGTGCTACAGTACCCAGATGAAAGCTAGACCCGTAACTTATGTTTGTTTTTTTCCAATGAAAATCCATTTCACAGTCTGCATGTTGTGATATGATATGGAAAATAACTGCGGTCAGCTTAAATAATTACAACTATCTCAAATAATTAAGATCAGACGATTACGTAGTAACTGTGACAGGCCTAGTGATGATATTTAAAGAGGAACTAAGCCATCTTTAGACAGTGGGCGGAGCAACAGCATGTCCTCCAGGGACAGAGACAGAGAGAGAGAGAGAGAGAGAGAGAGACGGACACATACAGCAGAGTGGAAGTGAAGCATAAGTGGGTCGTAATGGAGAGAGTGGTAGAAAAAAGCCGAGCGTCCTCACTGAGCCCACGGCACAGATTCATCATCCTGACACCAGAATGTACAACACATCTGCAGCACTGTGTGTGTGTGTGTGTGTGAGTGTGTGTGTGTGTGTAAGACAGTTTCATGATCCTAAAGATAGAAACAGAGGAGAGGGAGGGACGGAAGGCAGCGTGGGTGTCCTTCAGAGCAGGTCTATGGGTTGAGAAACTGACGGCTGTAATAAAAGGTGATTTATGAAAAGTGAATCCGAAGCACAGCTGGACAGCACACACACACACACACACACACACACACACACACACACACACACACACAGATGAAAAGGGCAGCAGTGTGTGTGTGCGTCAGGGTTATTAGCACTATAGCTGTGCATTCACTACACGATTTTTGCCTGATTTTAACCCCGATTTGCGACGTTTTCTCAAACTGAAGTGATTTTCCAGGTTGGAAGCTCGATCGGAAGCGACTGATGGTGTGGATGATCTGGTAGTGTGAGTGGAGATACGAGTAAATCTTCAGCCCTTCGATCGAGCTCTGAAGTGATTGGAGTCCCTCCAATATTATCAAATGTCTGATGTTTACGACTCAAACCGTTCACCCTGTAGTGTGAGAAGGTCAGAGATGCACTCAGTGAGTGATTCAAACAGCAGCCAATCAGAGAGCTAGAAGAGCGGAGAAACAGTTGAAGAGATGCGCAAACAACACCTGAACAGCGGTGGAGACAGAGGAGCTGCCCGTAAAACACAGCAGATAAGAGCTGATATCATGTTTATAATGTTGGATCCAGACGTCGGGTTACTCTCTTCACAGTTCCAGCTCAGCTGCCAGTTTGCAGTGAAATATTTCTCCAGCTCTCACTGCGATATCAGCATCTCTCAGCCCCATATTAACCCCCAGTTTACGCTTTCGCTGCGCATAAAAACACAAACGGGCCCAATAAGCTTAGCTTTGTTTGTGTCATGTGATCTGAGGAGATCTTTGCATTTGAGTTCTTATTCACAGCCCAAATTTGTTATGAGTGTTACACTCTCTCTTTGCTCTGTCGTCCAGTGTGAGCGCCCTCACAACAACAAGACAAGAAATTCTGTGACAAACTGACGTTAAGTTGTGATGCTTTCTATTTTGGAAATCTGTTTAGATTTTAAAAGTCGTGTAGTGAACGCTCAGCCTATTGTTATGTGTAAATTATTCTTCTTTTTCTGCTGCAATTTTTGTTTTTGAGACATTCCGGCTCCAGAATGTTGGGTCTGACTGGGAGTTGTGGGCTCGTATACAGCGTTTTAGTTGGATATACGGTTTTCGTACAATCGTACATCGTTATTTTTTTTCCCTACCGAAATGAATGGATGGCAAAACTTTGTGCACCCAGCTTATACCATAGCGTCACAAGTCTATTAGCAACTCCCTAGTAACCACCTGGAATACCATAGCAAAAAACCAAGTAACACCGTAGCAGGCACCTAACAACACGCTAGCAACCACCTAAATTACCCTAGTAACCACAAGGCAACACCAGTAACCATCTGCACAATCAGCCTGAAGAAAATGCAGAAAATGCACTTTTCAACATATGGTTTCATCTTCATGTAGAATAAGAATGAAATTTTCATTCATTTTTATTCTACTAAACTTTCCATTTTTGTTATTGATTTCAGTTCCGTTTCCGTTAATTTTAAAGGTCCATTAACAGTTTAAGTTTTGTTTTTTATTCTGAAAAGTTTAGTTGTTATTTAATTTCAGTTTAGTTTAGTTTTTGGTAATATGATAAATGCTGTGATAGTAAGTATTTAATAACAGCAGAATGAAATTAACAGTCGACTGAGCTCAGCTTGGCCCCAGTTTTCCTTAAAGCGCAGAAAGGATCCACTTCCAAACTCACATTCCCACGCTGAAAAAAAAACACAAGCTAAAGTTTTTTTTTTCTCAATAATTCTGTTTTCGTTTTAGCTAATTTTGTACTAGAGATCGATTTTGAAAACCTATTTTTATTACAGCTAAAAAGCACATTTTTCACGGTTAGTTTTTGCTTTAGTAATAGTTTTAGTCAACAATAGTAACCCTGGTGTGTGTTCACTCACCACTGGGGCAGTTCACTAATGCAGTTGTGACTGACGTCCAGCACCTCCAGCTTCTTACTCTCACTCAGCCAGTCCGGCAGCGCCTCCAGACGATTCCTTTAAACAACCCAGACAGACAGTTAACATTCATACAGTTTACCCTTTAGATTAGTGCCGCACTGATACAGACACAGAATCGTTCTGCATTAAAAAATGAAACAATACCATGAGGCCATTTCTGGTGTGCAGGTACGATACTGAGTGACGTGCACATGCATGCCAGTGGATGGACTGTGGTGTGGGATGACGAGCAGCAGTAAAAATGCTTTTGGCAAAATCTGTAACACCAGTATTTTGAGGGCAGGCAATTGTAGTGGTTGACATACCAGTCAAAATTCTTCTAAAAGGCATTAGTTTCACCGGGATGCCACAAATTAGTAGTGACAATGCAGCGTACAAACAGTGCAAAACACGCTAACACTAACCTCTTAAGCAACTAAACTGGCCTTATTAAGACATGCCATTCATTTAAGCTTGGTATGTTTTATTTGTGACACAGTGTTTTTACCAAAATATGCTATTAAATAGTATAAAGATCAGTGTTTCCAGGCAACTATTGAGTAATTAGGTAAGATAGAAGGAAACATGACATGTCTGTTGTAGATGTAAAGTCAGAGACGATAGCTCATCTGCTGCTGCACAGTTTGTGTTGGTCATCCTCTAGTCCTTCATCAGTGGTCACAGGACGCTGCCCACAGGACGCTGTTGGCTGGACATTTTTGGTTGCTGGACTATTCTCAGTCCAGCAGTGACACTGAGGTGTTTAAAAAAACTCCAGCAGCACTGCTGTGTCTGATCCACTCAGACCAGCACAACACACTAACACACCACCACCACGTCAGTGTTACTGCAGTGCTGAGAATGATCCACCACCCAAATAGTACCTGCTCTGTGAGGGTCCATGGGGGTCCTGACCACTGAAGAACAGGGTAAAAAGGGGCTAACAAAGTATCAGAGGAACAGATGGACCACAGTCTGTAACTGTAGAACTACAAAGTGCACCTATATAGTAAGTGGAGCTGATAAAATGGACAATGTAGATACAAATGTACTTAAGGAAGTGGCCGGTTGGTGTGGCTACTCTTTCTTTTTCTCAGTGGTGCTGTTATGTTTGTTTTGATATGTAGAGAATGTGATCAAAAAAGCTGGAAATGTAGAAAATGTATTTATTTGCAAAATAAAAGCCATGATAGGAATGTAAGTCATACATCAGCTGTATTGTACTGTTACTCTGATTACACAAATAAATGAGCTCTTGCTGATCTGAGAAAAGCAAACATGCATCCAGTAATAAAGTCCAGTGCATCTTTTATATAGTCAAAGGCAACACAATAGTGCACAGAAAGTGAAGTGCAAAGAAAAATGATTTACTGTTGCTAAAAGCAACATGCATGTGACGTAACTTCTCTAGCTGCAGATTTAAACAACTTTTTATTTATTTTTTTTTGCAAGCAAGAAAAACAAGTTTTTCCATAATATGAACCTTTTAAATCTGTAACGGCAAATTTTTTTTATCCTAATCTTTTAATTTTTAATTGTATTATTTAACTATCCTAATTTCATTTCTAATTTGATTTTTAACTTAGTGATTTTCTCCTTTAAATGTATTGTTTTAATCGTGTTTTAATGATGTTTTTCTATTCACATTTATTTTTTTTAAACAGCTCTGTATTTTCTCATTTGTAAAGCACTTTGAATGACAGCAGTGTATGAAAGGTGCACATAAATAAACTTGCCCTGCCTTAAATGACTATGCAAAACACTGTGTACAGAAGGCTTTTAGTGACACTCTCTGAATGATGTCTAAAATGTAGGAGTGCAGGAGACGCTCACCTTGAGACGTCCATATAGGTGAGGTTGGAGGCTGCTGGGCTCACTTCCAGTTCGCGGAGCTCTGCAGGGAAAAAGCCAAACTGATCAAAACCAGCATCACCTGAACTCAGCTCAGTCATAACTGCTTGAAGTTTCAGTTGGTGGAATATAAATCAAAGAGCGATGCCATTTGCAGACTCTGATCTTTCTGTTGAAAGTGCTGATTCTAATCTTTCAATCCATGATTGATGATTCAAAAGTTATTTATCACCTCAAAAAGGAGCAAAGAAGGCTTTTCATGGTCAGCCAGATTGTTCTGAAATAACCGTTTGGTTATTTTTTTATTTGTTAAATTTTTAAAAATAAATCTGTTTACAGGCTGAGCAGAAAAAACAGGAACGAATAATATAAGGCAGAGACACAGTGGGGCCCAAAAGGCTGAGACCACTTGTGGAAATGCTTCCATTCTGCATTATTTTCTAACCGAATCATGTTTTCATTACAAATTATATCATCAGCGTAACAATTCAAGTGAAACGAAGAATCTGACACATTTTTCACATGAATTTCAAATTTCTTAGTAGAGTCATTCAGAGTGGTGTACTGTGAAATGCTTCATTTGTGGAGAAACATTCAACAGACTCTGATTTCTTTACAGTGGTGCTGATAGGAACCAGGGGTCACAATGTCTACAACACAAATACAGCCATTTTATTAACTATCCAAACCACCAGTGAATCTAAACGTGTTGTTGAACAATGGCTATAAGCAGATTAACATAAACAAGCCTCTGATGAGTAGATCAGATGTACCTGTGAGTCATCTGAACATGAGCTTCAATAGAAGAAAATTGGTCGCAAGTGTGCTTAAATCTGAATAGTGACCTAGAAACTGCACAGAATTTTGCACATTTCTTTTTCATTTTACTCATAATTTTACTTTTGTTGTTTATTTCCAGTTTGATACAATTCCAGCTTTTCAATGAGGTCTCAGACTTTTGGACCCCACTGTATGTATTCTCTCTTTTCTGTATAGTAGAGCAACGACTAAAAATAAATAAGTAAAAAAAACATAACAGATCAAACTAAAACATGAGTAAAATACATTTAATTAAATTCAATTTAACTAACCACACCATATGACACCCCCATGTTGATTAATATAGATAACTATCATAAGGAATATGAATAACTACAGTAAGAAACTCAAACAGGATTGAGAAATTTACACGCACTACAGACGAAGTAGCTTGATGTAGTTGATACTTAAAGGACCAACTGACTTACAGAAATGCTGAGCTGCAGCTGCTGTAAATTGAATGTAAATGTATTATGTTCCTACTAAGTAATGAATTATTAAAACAGTACTGGAAAACGTTTTTACCGTTGTTGGAGGCGTGAAGGGCCTTTAGCGTGCAGCCTCGGAGCCGCAGGCGGCCGATTCGGTTCCTCTGACAGTGCAGCACCTCCAGCCGGGGGAAGAGCGAGGCGTCCAGCTCACTCAGCCGGTTGTCCCGCACGTCCATCTGGGTCACATGCCGCAGGAAGTCTGGCTCATCCGGAACTATGCTGGATATCTGGTTCAGCCTGCGAGAAGAAGAGGTTCCTAGTGAGGACCTTTCAGCATGATGTAGTTGGCATAGCGCTAACAGGCCCTTCCTCCTGCTCTTAGGGAGTTTTTCCTTGCCACGGGTCACTTTGCTGATGATCTCTTGGGATTTGGATCCACATTCTTGTTGTGTCCATGGTAAATAGCTTTAACATGTTTTGTTGATTTGCTAAGTGTAAATAAGTTAACGCGTCCTCTACGGAGAACATGATAAAGACAGGCTGGAAAATGAATTCTGGTCATTTTTCATACCACACAAAAATGAGAAAATAGGCAATATGGGCCCTTTATAGGTGAAAAGTTGACAAATACAAATCTAGATATCTGTTTTCTAGTGTTGGGTAGTTCACTCTCACTTAGACTCCTCAAAAAGCTGTAACTAATTCAGCCACATTTGATTCCAGTGTTTGATATTAATCTAATTAGTGCTGAAGAAGTCATCTACTTGCTTTTGCTCAAACAAGCAGAACTCTCAAGATGCATTTTTCCCCAACTCGGTTTAGCATATTAATGAAGACTTCCACAGAGCACAGAGGGACACAGAGCACGTTTTTCATAATCACACTTAAAAAATAGCAAGTGCACCAAAATGGGGCAAAATGCTGGATACTACATGTGTGTAGATACATAAAGGCCCAGTCCCATTTCACCCCTCGCCCTACCACTGAGCCCTTAACCCTCTGTTTTGCGCATTTATCTATAGGGGTAGGGTGTCCCGATTCTTGTTGAGGAGGTTTTTTACAGACACACTCCAAACAGAGTTATGAGAAAAAAGAAAAACTGGCAAGATGGCGGCACAAGTGACCAAAGAAACCCACAAATGTGAGAATTTTCTCTGTTAGAAAATTATGATAATCACGGTATTTTCTTAGTTTAATATAAAATGCTCGTTTTCTTCATAACAAGCATAAAAGTCACTAGTAGTATGCTAATGTCTCGGTTGCTAGCTAGCTAACTTTCCAGTTCGACCTTAAATAGTCCAGCAGTTCTGACGCCTGAAGTGCCAGAATGTAACTGTTACTCCATTTAAGGTGGAACGGGAAAATTCAAACAAGAAGCTGGTGAATATCTGACTTCAGCTTCACATCACTGAAGAATTAGCAGTGGGTGATAATAAACAATTGTCCTATCCCCCCTCTTTGAAGGCATATGATGCCCTAAATGTAACTAAAGTCCAGCAGTGAGGAGCTGAACTTTACCCTCCTCTGCTATCACTGCAGACTGGCAGGGTCGCCTACAGAGCAGCACTAGTAGAATATGAATATATATACAAAAAGAACGTGATGATTTCAAAACAGTACTGGAAAATCAAAGTGGAAACAGCTCATCAACACTTAAAACTGTATCTTCGCCTTTGGGGCTCTTCCCGTCTCCCATCTTTGGTGGTTAGAATTGAAAACTAGACCTCTGGGTGCAGCCTATCAGAGTAAAATGGATAGAGAGGGGGCGGGGCTTGTACTGAGGACACACCCACTCTGAAATGGCTGAGCTTTTTTCAGAAGTCACTTAATATTCTAGGGGTTGTGGTTATTGGGGTTTATTTATAGGTTGGCTAGAGGCACACAGGGAAAAGGTTCTGTTGGAGAAATTTTTCTTAGCCAAAACAATCTGCATAGTGCATAATTAGAGTGATATATATACACACACTACTGTGCAAAAGTGTTAGGCACCTGAGAAAATTTGATTTAAAAAGCTATTTATCTGGGCAGTACTTGTTCATTTTCTCAGAAAAACAGCGCTGCTATATCAAAACCAGGCTGTCATAATTCCATTTTTTTCCCTCCATTTTTATTCTTAATTTCAGCACAGCAGCTGCCCTGCTGTTTGAACATTTGATGATGCATGATGGACCAAAAGAAATGGTCTAGAATTATTTAGAATAAAATCTCTTTACACAAACTTAAAACAAATGTTTAGAACATTTTTTCTTCTTTTAACTTTTAACTTTCTTCTTTTGACTTTTTAAGACAGTGACAATGTACACTCTGTGGCCAAAAGTATGTGGACAACCCTCCTCATTACTTTCAGGTTTACTTTCAGGTGTTTCAGTCACACCCATTACTAACAGGTGTATAAAATCAAGCACATAGCCCTGCAGTCTCAACAGACAAACAAGAGCCAAGAGCTCAGTGACTTAAAATGTGACACTGTCATAGGATGCCACCTTTACCACAAGTCAGTTTGTGAAATTTCTGCCCTGCTTGATCTAGCCTGGTCAACTGTAAGAGCAACAAGAGCTCAGCAACAAAACGGCTGACCACACAACCTCACAGAGTGGGCTGCAGAGTACTGAAGTGCACGATACACAAAAATCATCTATCCTCTGTTGCATCATTTCACCACAGCGTTTCCATGACACAGCCTATGATCAGTATGCGCAATACCAAGCATCGGCTGGAGTGGTGTAAAGCACCGCCGCTGGACTCTGGAGCACTGGACACACGTTTTCTGGAGTGATGAATCATGCTTCATTATCTGGCAGTCTGGTGGGTGCCTGGAAAATGCTACAAATGCATAGTGCCAACAGTAAAGTTTAGTAGAGGAGGGATAATGGGTTTGGTGCTGTTTTCCAGTGTTTGGGCCCCTTAGATCAAGTCAAGGGTGATGTTAATGCTACAGCACACAGAGACATTTTAGACAGTTACATGCTTCCAACTTTGTGGCAGCAGTTTGAGGAAGACCCTCTCCTGCTCCACCATGACTGAGCCCCTGTGCACAAAGTGAGCTCTATAAAGATGTGGTTTGATGAGTTTGGTGTGGAGGAACTCCAGCAGCCTGCACAGAGCCCTGACCTCAACCCTACCGAACACCTTTAGGATGAACAGGTATGTCGATTGTAAACCAGGCCCTCTCGCCCAACATCAGTGCCTGACATTACAAATGCTCTTTTGACTGAATGGCCACAAATTCCCACAGATAAACTCCACAGTCCACAGAAAACCGTACCAGAAGAGTAGGGCTTGTTACAGCCCTAAAGGGTGGGAGACAACTCCACATTAATGCCTTTGATTTTGGAACGTGATGTCGAACAAGCTCATTTCGCTGCGATGGTCAACTGTCCACAAACTTTTGGCCCTATATTGTATATTTGTCCAGTTCAAATACAGTTTGGCTCATCAACTAAATCTGGAGAAGGGAAGGAACTGTATGAATCTGGCCTGAGAGAGCTGAATTTATGGCCGAACATGCATTCAGGTTGGTCCAACTTCAATCAGCAGACAGCGCATACTCACCGGAGGTCGATGTATTTAACGGGCAGCAGGCGGAAGGCCTGCAGGGTGAGGGTCTGCAGTCTGTTTCCTGCCATACACAGCCTCTCCACAGAGGGCAGACGCTCCAGGACCTGCGGCACCTCGCTGAACTCGTTAAAGGAGAGGCCGAGGTAGGCCAGCCGCTGCAGAGAGCCTAGCTCAGCCGGCAAAGACGACAGCCGATTACCGTCCAGGAGGAACGTCTGCAGACTGGCAGGGACACAGAGACAGTCACGTTAACACAGTACAAGAGCACTTTACTGTTTGCTTGTGCTTGTTTTTGTTTTCTGCTTTACTGTTTTGCCAAATGACTGATTAATAATAATTATATAGAGATCATAATTAAGCTGTTTGCAGCTAAGCTGTTCATGAAAGAAGTCAGTGATGTGATCCCAGCCAGTGGCTGTTGCCCTCGATGAGATAAAAAAACACCATAAAAAAAAAACAATTTGAAGTTTTGCACCTTAACCCAAAATAAGCTGAAGTTTCCTTCTATTTATACTTGAGCTATGAGGCTAATGTAGCTAACAAGTAATAAAAGTTTGTATGCTGCCAATTAGCATTGAGCAAATGGCATACCTAAATAATCACCCGCTTGTCAAGTTGTTAGGTAATCTCAAATAGCCCTACTTATGTGGTGTCCGACATAGTTAAAATGGACAAAAGCACAGAGCTAACAGTATGTCATTAGCCTCTAGTGAAGAGCTAAAGAAGCATATGTACATTTAACTGTCCATCAAACTATTCCTTTAATGGTGTCCTTCTGCATTAGCCCAATGTACACTGCTTAGCAGCAGCATGATATATATATATATATATACTGCTCTTGCTAAGCAGTGTACATTGGGCTAATGCAGAAGGACACTTAAAGGAACAGTCTGATAGAAAATAAGTCTAGTTGAGATTACTTAACAACTTGACAAGTGGGTGCTGATTTAGGTTTGTTCAATGCTAATCGGCGGCATATAGACTTTCATTACTTGTTCGCTATAGATGAAGAGAAGATGGATGAGTTTGAGTGTATGGATGGAAGGGTTTAAGATTGTGGATGGATGGATGGATGGATGGATCGATAGATGTAAAGAAGGATGGATGGGTTCAAGAGTGGATGAATAGATGTAGTGAAGGATGGTTGAGTTTGAGTGTTTTGGTAGAAGGGTTTGAGGTTGGATGGATGGATGGAAGGATATATGTAGTGAAGGTTGGATGGGTTTAAGAGTGTAGATGGAAAGATAAAGGGAAGGATAGATGAGTTTTAGTGTATGGATGGAAGGGTCTAAGATTGTGGACGGATGGTTGGATGGATAGATGTAGTAAATGTAGGTATGTCCAATGCTAATTGGCAGCATATAAACTTTCATTATTTGTTTGCCACACACACACACACACACACACACACACACACACACACATTTAAAAACTGCACTGTTACAACGACCAAACATACCTAATAACCAATGACAATGTTGGACAACAATCAACAGTAATTCATCTTCATTCATATTTACTTTTCTTAGGTTTAAACTGAACAGAACGGTGAGTATTTCCATTAAATGAGGCACCAGTAACGGTACACGCATGTCTGTGAATGTGTGAAAGTTCTGCTGTTGGTGTAAGTGTGTGGTGTATAACTGACTGTGTTGAACCAGTAGGGGGCAGCAGTGGAGCTAAAGTGTAAAAAAACAGGCTGTGCACTTTCAGGTTATTCCAGATGATTCTTCCACATAAGTATCGCTATGACGAAACTCAGAGTGCAACAAGTTTATGTGTGATTGTGTAAAAAGGTTCTCTGAGCGTCTTCAGAACTGCTTTATGTGTAATAGAGAACCCTCTAATCTGAGCCTTCAATCAGTGTGTGGGCTGAACTTAACTCAATATAAAGCTGGTTTGGTGGAAATCCTGAGAAAATCATTCCACACACTTATAAATCCATTCACTCCATATATTCATCCCTCATCTGTTCATCCACACATTCCAAACATTTAAATGTAATCATCCACATACCTAAACCCAATCCATCCACACTCAGACCCATCCATCCTTCACTACATATATCCATCCACACTCAGACCCATCCATCCTTCACTACATATCCATCCATACATCCACACTATTAAACCCATCCATACATCCACACTCAGACCCATCCATCCTGCACTACATATCCAACCATACATCCACACTATTAAACCCATCCATACATCCACACTCAGACCCATCCATCCTTCACTACATATATCCATCCACACTCAGACTCATCCATCCTGCACTACATATCCATCCATACATCCACACTATTAAACCCATCCATACATCCACACTATTAAACCCTTCCATCCATCTATTCATCCACCCACAATCTTAAATATATCCCTCATCCTATACCTCCACACTCAAACCCATCCATACATCCTCCTCCATCCACTATTAAACCCTTCCCATCCATCTACTCATCAACCTATCAATAATATTAAACCCATCCATACATCTACTCATCCATCCACACTCTTAATCCCATCTATCCATCCATCTGTCCATCTATCCATCCATCCGCTGTCCACACTCATACTTACCCATCTATCTGTCCATCCACACTCTCTAACCATCCATCCTTCCCCACATTCGTTCATACTCTTAAACCCATTCATCCTTCCACACCCCAACCATCTGCACTCTTGAACCCATCCATCCTTCCCTTCATCTATTCATTCACTCTCATGAACCCATCCATCCTTCCCTTCATCTATCTATCCACACTCTTAAACCCATCTATCCTTCCCTACATATATCCTTCCATCCATCCATAACCTTAGACCCTTCCATCCATACACTAAAACCCATCCATCCTTCACTGCATCTATCCACCCAACCATCCATCCACAACCTTAAACCCTTTCATCAATACACTCAAACTCATCCATCTTCTCTTCATCTATCCATCCACACTCTTCAACCCATCCATCCATCCTTCCCTACTTACACCCCGTTTTTCCCTCCTCCCTCCCTCCCTCGCTCCCCCCACTCTCCTTACTTGTTCATGAGTCCGACGCTGGGGTGCAGGCTGCTGAGGCAGTTACAGCTGAGGTTGAGCTCAGTGAGGGTGGACATGGAGCTCAGAGCCAGAGGGAAAACACCCAGCTGATTATTGGAGAGGTTCAGACTCCGCAACCGGGTGAACCTAACACACACACACAGCAGAGAGAGAGAGAGAGAGTGAATGAGTGAGTGAGTGGTGTAATAGTGCTTGTGTGTGTGAGAACTTTAGTGTGGGGAGTGTGTGGTACAGACACACAGTGCACATCCTCCTTCATACTGCACATACACATACACATGTACACGCTCCCAAACTTTTCTATCTTTCTTTCACCACTTGCTTGTGACCGCTTGGCAAAAAAAAAATAAATATTCAAACAAATGCAGCCCACCAGCCAAGGCAGGGTGTGTATAAGGGGTGGGCAATGTGATGATATTTATCATTATCATTATCAGCTTTTCTGAGCGTATCACCAGTACTTAACGACACTGACCAACTGCATGTTTCACTGTAAGGAGAGCATAGTAAGACCTGTTTAACTGGATTTAGTGCAGTGCAGAATATGAAACAAATAAAATCATCACAGTTTTTTCTAAATGTGGTTCTTTTTTGTCTTTTCTAACTTATTAAACTTTAGAAAAGCAAAATATTGTGATGCATATCATGCATGAAGTACGTCTTTAAGTAACATGCTTTCTTTTTTTGCCCTTTTGCTTAACCCAATTTCTTGCTTCTTTAGATTTAGCTTATTTAGGCTAATGTAGCTAATGAGTAATGAAGGTTTATACCCCGCCAGACCCAAATCAACATCCAATCACCTCAAACCCTGCTGAGTTGCTCAGTAATCTCTAATATACGTCCTCATGTCGTTACTGACACTGTTTAACATAATGTTCCCTATGAATATGGACTAAAGTACAGCACATCACTAAAATGAGATCTTTTTGGCCAGACTATCGCTTTAAGCTGCTGATCCAACCCTCGCCCCCAGCGCCCCCGCCAAGCCTTCACATGGCACAGTGCTGCTTTTTACCCAGCATGCAGTGCAGCTGGAACAGTGTGTCTGTCACAGGGGGGCCGCAGCCCTTTGAAGCTTTTGTGCTTCAGTAAATATGATCATAAACAAAAGGGAGATTTCAGAGAAGACAATCACATCACAGCCTGAGCAGAGGAGTGGAAAACTCCCAGAGACAATACAGAGAGAGAGAGAGAGACAGAGAGAGAGAGAGAGAGAAGAGAAAGGCAGGGGACAGAGAGAGAGAGAAGAAAGGCAGAGAGAGAAATGGGGAGAGAGAGAGACAGAAAGGGGAAGAGAGAGAGAAAGGGGGAGAGAGAGGGAAAGAAAGAGAGACAGAAAGAAAGGGGAAGAGAGAGACAGAGCGAGAGAGAGCGAGAGAGAAAATAGGGAGAGGGAGCAAGAGAAGAGGGAAGGAGGGAGAGAGGGAGAGCGAGAGAGAGAGAGAGAGAGAGAGAGAGAGAGATTGAAGGAAAGAGATAGAGAGAGAGAAGAGAAAGGCAGGGGAGACAGAGAGGGAGAGAGAAAAAGGGGAGAGGGAGAGAGAGATGGAGAGAGAAAGGGAGAGAGAGAGAGAGAAATGTGGGAAGAAAGAAAGAAAGATGGGGAGAGAATGGGGAAAAGAGAGAGAGAGAGAGAGAGAGAGAGAGAGAGAGAGAGAGAGAGATTGAAGGAAAGAGATAGAGAGAGAGAAGAGAAAGGCAGGGGAGAGAGAGGGAGAGAGAAAAGGGGGAGAGGGAGAGAGAGATGGAGAGAGAAAGGGAGAGAGAGAGAGAGAAATGTGGGAAGAAAGAGAAAGAAAGATGGGGAGAGAATGGGGAAAAAGAGAGAGAGAGAGAGAGAGAGAGAGAGAGAGAGAGAGGGAGGGAGGAAGAGAGACAGATATATATATATATATATATATATATTATATAATATATATATATCTCAATACTCCAATTGTAAAATGTATTGTATTGTATTTTACCTCTTCACTTTAATATCTAGAACCTGTGGTACAATTTAGTGTCGACTGACTGTCTTAGTACTTCCCCCCATTTTATCTAAAATAATTAGAATCTTTTTTTTTTCCATTTTTTCATCCTAACTCTCATAACTGCAATGCGTCCACATATTTCTCATTCACCTCCCTTTAATGTGGAAAACCCAGCTCGTATTACTCTGAACTGATCAGTCTCGTTACTTAACGGTCACCTATTAAGCTCTAAGGAAGAAAATGTTTTGTGCCACAAATAAGAGAAACCTCAGCTGCTGTCAGTGCGCTGCAGTAACGAGACATAAATCCTGAAAAAGCCAGTGTTATGTGTCGTTATCATCCAAACCCGGGTTTATCTAATCAATACTTCATTCATTTTAATCAGGTTTGCTGGTGGTGGAATCTGATAAATATGTCTGGGGGTGCTGAGGAGACACCTGGAACCAAATCCTGTTCTCCAAACTAGCTCAGAAGATATCAGCTACTTTCTGAAAACAGGAAATTCTTGTTATTTTTATTGTATGTTTATTTGCATTTATTCTGATGATATACAGAGTTTTTACCGTTAAAAACACTCACAGTCGAGATGAACAGTTCTGAACAATTTGTTCAGGTGCCTAAAACTTCTGTACCTTTTAGCTTTAAAATACTTACAATAATATACAGATTATGAAAAGAAAACCTGGGGGGGGGGATGCCGTTATTAATTAATTAATTTATTTACACCTTTATTTTTAAATCTTATTAAGAAATCTGTAATAAGAACTTGGTCATCTAATTTTAAAAAAATGTTAGCAAAAATAAATTTTAAATAAAATAAATCATGCATGTTTATTCTGGATCATTCACGAAGGTTTCACAGCTTTCATGTACAGAAAAAAGAGCACATTAAGTGTTAATGGTGAGAGTTTAAGTTGTGAGAATAACCCACACTGACTGACCTGTGGAGCTGCTGCAGCGAGTGGTCAGCAGGGAGGAAGTTGTGCTTGAGATTGAGGTGCGTGAGGTCTTGGCTGTAGAGCAGATTGGGGGGCAGTTTCTCCAAACTACAGTAGGACAGATCCACAGAGCTGATCCTCTGAGACACCATCTGAGAGAGAGAGAGAGAGAGAGAGAGAGATTAAATGACTTGACGCTCTTGACCATGATAAGACTAAATAAGATGCACTCAAGACATTTGAATTTAGACAATTAGCAAAAATTCTCACCCATAAACTCAAACAGACAAACACCAAACACTCAGACTGAGGTTCACAAAGCCATTAACACCAGGTCAAGCGCTTCTATTTAAACTAATGCTGCGCTGATTAAACGTCTCAGCCAGACCAATAAACGTGGAATGAAGCGGCTCACTTTGGCTCTCTGGCATGGAAATCCCCCCCTCCCCCCGTCTCCCTCTATCATCGCTAATCTGAGGGTCCCATAGGGACACTTTGTGCTGACACTATGAGGTTGTTTCCAAGAACAGCAAGATGATAAGCAGACGATGACCAGATTAAGAGAAGGGGAAAAGCAGGAGGAAACGGAAGAGGAAAAGAAAAGCAGAGAGAAAACAGCATAAAAAGAAAAATGAGAGGGAAAGCAGAAGAAAAACTGGAACGAAATGCAGATGAAAAACAGAGGAAAAGCAGGGAGAAAACCAGGAAGGAAAGGAGAGGAAAAGCAGGAGGAAAAAAGCGAAGGAAAAGCAAGAGGATAAAGCTAGGGAAAAGCAGGGGAAACAGAGGAAAAGCAGGAGGAAAAAAAAGGAAAAGCAGGAGAAAAAAGCGAGAGGAAAGTAGGAGGAAAAGGAGGAGGAAAAAGCGAAGGAAAAGCAGGAGGAAAAAGTGAGGGAAAAACAGGATAATCAGGAGGAAAAAGTAAGGGGAAAAGTGGAGGCAAATGCAGGGTCAAATCAGAAGCAATGCAGAAGGAAAATATACGGTAAAAGCAGAGAGAAAGAGGGAGGAAAAAGCAAAAGCAGAAGGAAAAGAAGGGAAATAGCAGAAAGAAAAGTAAAGGCAGAGCAGGAGGAAAATAAAGCGAAGAGCATAAAGAAAAGTAGAGGAAGATCAGGTGGATAAACAGTGAAAAGCAGGGGATGAGGAGGGGGAAAGCAGTGGAAGAGCAGGAAGACAAGCAGTGGAAGAGCAGGAGGGACAGTGGTGGAAGAGCAGGGGAAGAAGAGCAGGACGAAGAGCAGGAGAAAAAGCAGTGGAAATGCAGGATAAATAGCAGGTGAAGAGCAGGAGGAAAAGCAGTGGAAAAGTGATGGAACGGCAGGAAGAAAAGCAATGGAAGAGTAGGAGGAGGAACAGGTGGAAAGCAGTGGAAAAGCAGGAAGAAAAGCAGTGGAAGAGCAGGAGGAAAAGCAGTGAAAGAGTAGGAGAAACAGCAGGAGTAAAAGCAGTGGAAGAGCAGGAATAAAAGCAGTGACAGAATAGGAGAAAAAGCAGTGGAAATGCAGTGGAAGAGCAGGAGGAAAAGCAGTGGAAGAGCAGGAGGAAAAGCAGTGGAAGAGCAGGAGTAAAAGCAGTGGAAGAGCAGGAGGAAAAGCAGTGGAAGAGCAGGAGGAAAAGCAGTGGAAGAGCAGGAGGAAAAGCACTGGAAGAGCAGGAGGAAAAGCAGTGGAAGAGCAGGAATAAAAGCAGTGGAAGAGCAGGAGTAAAAGCAGTGGAAGAGCAGGAAGAAAAGCAGTGGAAGAGCAGGAGGAAAAGCAGTGGAAGAGCAGGAATAAAAGCAGTGGAAGAGCAGGAGTAAAAGCAGTGGAAGAGCAGGAATAAAAGCAGTGGAAGAGCAGGAGTAAAAGCAGTGGAAGAGCAGGAGTTAAAACAGTGGAAAGAGCAGGAGGAAAAGCAGGAACAACAGTGGGAAAACCTCACGGTTCTTAGCTGGAATGATCAGCCAAACGTATCATCTAATACAGACACTCCACACTATTATCAGACTGCATATCGTCCAGTGCATAAACTGTTATGTAATAAACACAACAAAGTTGTGCAGCTTAAACACTTTAACAGTGAATGTACTGAGTGAATAATGCATGAACACTGGATTTACTGTTAATCGTTATTCATACGCATAGACAAACGTAGAATTCTGTATTTGATTCTGCACAATTTAAAGATTAATCATTACTGCATTATTTATTGATGTATATAGAAAAACAAACAAACAAAACAGGTCATTAACGCTTAAATAAACTCTTCTGCGTTGCACTGAAAAGAAAAACACACTGCTTCCTTCTAAAAACTTCCTTCTGTTCTCTTTCCAAAAACAGATTCCAATGATTTACAGCACTGATAAAAGTAATTAAGGTTAAGATAAAATATCGCAGATCACCAGATGTGAGTAAACACGCCCTGCCCCCGTCGCGAGTATAAACAAACAAGGTGTGGACGAAGTTCAGACAGAGAGAGCAGGAGAGTCTGTAATGTAGGAGTAATGTAGGACAGCCAGATGTATTATGGGTACTCAGCGTTTCATAAATCAAACAGACACACGTGGAGCTGGTGGTCTTTTGGGAAACGGGGCAGCAGTGATGTTAAATACACACACACTCGCTCAGACAGACATACGGGGACACGTGGGGCCCTGTTTTCTCCAGTCATTGCAAGGGCCTCTGCAATCGCTTCACCTTATTACAAAGACATGAGGGCGTGGCTTTCAACACTGGTTTCCAAACAGAGACTCCAAAACTCATTTTCAATATCAGACTTAAAATCCATGATACTTACAGTACTGTGCAAAAGTCAGAGCACCCTTCACTTATTTAATTTCCACACCTCCAGTTCAGTCTTAGAAGCTGGTTGATCATTTTCTGAAGTAATCAAACCCATTCAGTGGTGTTGAGGTCTGGACTCTGGGGTGGTCAGTCCGTTGTTCAGCTTCTTTGTTTGATGTGTCCGTCTCCTTTTCTCAGTGAGGTTCTTCTTGACAGCTACACATCCTTTCAGACCCATAGAGCTGAGTCGTCTTCTCACAGTGGAAGGATGGACAGAAACACCTGTGGATGTTTTCAGATCTGAAGCAGCTTGATTTTCTCCTCTCTCTCAGAGATGGAAGCTTTAAGTGCTGCTTATCTGATGGGGGCAGTTTTGGTGGTCTACCAGGTCCTGCAGGTGGTTGTTAGGAGTCCCATTTTCTCTGCATCTTATCATCATTTTTTGAAAACGTAAAAAGTGTAAAAAGTGTCCTGTTTTTTCCTCCGTCCTCATACAAAGTGGATTATCTCATATCTAATCTCAGAAATCTCATGAAAATAAATAGCTTCACTTTTGCACAGCACTGTATGTTTCATAACTAAGCATGATTTTATCTGTTTGGCACTGCAAATATATCCAGTAAGTGGCAACAATTTCTTAATAGACAAGTATAAGCTACAACCCAGTAAACCTAAAATGTATTTATTTTTAACATTTTTCGTATTTTAACAATATTAGTTCATTCTAAAGACAAAATTTATTGTAGATTAAGCTACAATATTCGTGTCCTGACAAAAGGATGAAACTCCTGACTACTAATTACGAACCAAATACCAATATATTGAACAAATACTCAAGTATTCAAATTATTCAGGTCAGCTCTACTTAAATAATCATCAAAAAACTGTAGAATTTTCAATTACTAATATAGTCATATGCAAATGTTTGGGCATCCTGGTCAAATCACGTTCTGTTGACTTTAAGTGAAAAAGATTTAACACATCCTCTACAGAGAGAACATGTCTGCACATTTTAAAGAGGAATTCCACAGTTTAAAAAAAGATTCTTCATAATTAAACAGTTAACATGTAAACAAAGTCAGAGCAGTTTGGTGTGAAATGCTCTGTTCTAGATAAACTCAGAGACAGAACTGTTCACAGTGGTGGTGATAGGAACCAGACGTCTTAAGAGTTTAATGCCTCTAAAAGCTCCCTCACAGAAAGTTATCATATAAGACATAATGTAATGTCTCAGACATTGTTGTCTGCAGTTTTGAAATTCATTCATGGTGGAAGGATACATGCTGGGCACTGTGAGACAAAATAGTCCCCAAAGAAAACAAGCTTTTTTCAGGTTCATCACTAAATTACCATCATCAACATTACATATAATAACTCAGAAGACACGTTTAGGTTCACTGGTGGTTTTGGATAGTAAATAAAATGGCTATATTTATGTTGTGACCCCTGGGTCCTATTAGCACCACTGTAAAGGAATCAGAGTCTGTAAATTTCTCTACAGTGAATTTCATACCAAACCATGGTGGAAGTTCTCTTTCATGCAAATAAATAAGTAATATCTATTTGCAGAATTTAACATGTTGGGGAAAAATACTATATTATATTTTAAGCTTTTATTTTCCCTAATATGTTAAATAAATAGAAACTTTGCACTGAAATTTGCAGAAAAATGCAATGTTTTAGTATATTCTCTGTAGAGGATCTGTTCACCTATTTTCACTTAGAAATTCAACAAAACGTTATTTGTTCAAACTTTTGTGTAGTTCAGGTTGGGCTCAGATGTGAGTTCAGATGTGGTTCTCCAGGTTTTTCAAAATGCTTTAACAGATTGAAACAGTAAAGCCATCGACTCAGAGAACCTCATAAAGCTACCAATATGTTGTGGTGCTGCGTGAGACGTCCCCCCACGAACACGGCCCCCCTACAACCAATGCTCACAGAGACAGACCTTGGCTGCGTGACGGTGCCAGCGAAGATGCTCAGTGAAGCTGTCGAAGCTGATGTAGTACGTCTGACTCTGAGGCCCGGCCGAGCTGAAGGCCAAACAGTGGCTGTGTTTCTTCACCTCCTCTACCTACACACACACAGAGGGAGGAGAGAGAGGACAAGGTCACCTTCTGCAGGTAGGAAACAACATGTAGGCGTCGTAGCCAAAGGTCAACAAGTTCTTCTCAGAGTAAGTGGTTCATAACAACAACAGGGAAATACATTCTATGTAATCATCATACTTTAAATTAGCTAGTAAAAACTTTTACTGCGTAAAAATTAATAAAGTACAACACAAAGCATAGAATGAATATTTTGTATGTATCATCAAATGTCAACTGTAAAGTAAACATAAAAATAGTGCAATCTGTAAAGAGTATTTTGTAAAAAATGCAATATTTATGTGCAATAATTTGCTATTGTCTGAAGAAAATCTCGTATCTCCAAAATGGTAACTTTACAGGAGAAGGAAAAAAACCTACTTTACTTTTAATGTAAGTCAATGGAACCAGATTTTTTCCCAAGTCATTCTGGGTCATTTCTTTGGGTCCATTCATCATGAAATTTACACACAATATAAAGGGCAACAGGGATTTTCAAATTATGTCAAAAACTAAAAAAGACAAAAATGGAGATACGAGGTTTTCTTCTGACAACAGCGAATTGCTTATTTGTTGCACAGCGGCAGGAGACACTACATTCCCTCTTACATGCTTGGATACAGGGCTGCAGCTATCCAATATTTACATTTTTGAATATTCTATTTAGTGATGCATCCAAAAGAAGATGTTAAACATATTTAAGGTTCACAACTGGACCTTAAAACCACTGTTGTACCTTTGAGGGAACATTTACACTGTTTGTACCCTGACGGATGAAAAATGTACCTTTATTTCTAACAGTGTATGATTATAATTGTGTATAATTACACCTTGGATGAGCATCTAACAGTACCAGTTTGGTTTTTTTGATTACATGTAATCTTTCTACTTCTATTCCTAATTTTGGATTTTGGTTAATGTTTGTTAAATCAGCAGTTTCACATCACCAAAAGACAACATTTAATATTTTAATAATTTTTAGCCAAGTGGACTGAAAAGTTTTATAAATTTGTGCTCAGGCGTGGCAAGAGAACATGTGGACCAAAGACAATATCTGGACATAATATATGGACATCTATAGGGTAAACTTTAGCTTTACTAAACAATTTACAATATTAATTTACTGAAACAGGAAACACGTTCTGTGGACTTCTGTTCATTCTCTGCCTCTCGTGAGCTGAACTTTTTCTCCTGAAGTGAATGTGAGTTGCTGTTGCCCCCTTACCTTTCCCCCGATGAGGGGCAGGATGTGCATCTTGCCCACATGACTGGCTTTAACAGATGACACCATCAGGCAGGTACCACACAGGATGACCTGCCGGCGGCTCCAACGGTTGACGGGCAGCTGCAGTTTGCCTTTGCGCACGTTATACGTCCCCGACAGCTGCACGCGCTCCGAACTCTCAATGTTGTGAGGCTTTCCTGAAAGACAGAGTAGAACAAAGAGTTTTAGATCCAGAGCCAGAAGCTGCATCTAATATTCACTATAAACTACATGAACAACATAATAAAAATGTACGTATAACATTGTATAGCAGTGCTACTTCAGCTATTGAAACCATCTGAAAATGCCAGCGGTCCTTTCCATTGTGTAAACATTTCACCATGAATTAACCAATCAAAGTGGTCCAAAATGACCTGGAATGGAGTCCAGAGTGTTTTTTAACCTTCTACAATACATTTAACCAGCATTGAACATTATATATCGCTTTACATACAATGTAAAGGACAACAGGCATTTTCAAACTGTCCAAAACTGAAAAATGACAAAAATGGACATAAGAGGTTTTTTTCCGACAGCAGCGATATGTTATTTACTGAATTCCCAGTGAAAACAGCCATTAAGAATAATGGGTTTCTGAATTCAGAACCCAAAAAACGATAAAAGATGAAGAGAAAATTGGACTTTCATCTCTGTGAGAATGTGTAAAAATATCCCTGCAGATTTCTATAAAAAACCAAAGTGAGTCTCCTGAAAAGAATGTAAGCTGTAATAAAAGCAAAGAGTGACACAGTAAATACTGAAAAAATATATATATTATATTTAGTTGTTCAGCCTTATGTGTAATCCTCTGTTAAATATATGTTTTCCACCTCCGAAGGACAAACGTTGGACAGCTGTTTAGTTCATTAACCAAAAAAAACAAAAAAAACACACACAACAACCATACAATCAATTTATTTCAGCTCACAATTAACAGCTGACATTCAACTGCTTATTTAGGTAGATTCTCATAGGTTATTTTATTCACCTCATGACCTGAACTGACCTCTTGAATTGATCCTGAATTGACAGAATTCGCCCCAGTGCTGACCACACTCCCCTACAGCACTCTTACTGTCACTGCTCTCTCAGCCCACATTCAACACCATCATGCTGAATTCGGAAGGGAAACAGACAGATCTTTCCCAGGCACTGAAAGCTGACCTCTGGGCCTGAGTGAATACACTAAGCTCCGTATTACTTAACATATCCCTCAACTTCACATTCCTTCTTCTGACACCAGTACAGCAAATTCTGGAGCTTGACCAGTCATTTGACTTTTATCCCTGTTCCCTCTCAATGGAGCGTCTTGGCAGTAAGCTTCCCTGGGCTAAGTGGACAGTCCAGGTTTCTGCGTCTGGCTGAATGGTAACCCAGTCCGTTAGTGAAGGGTTGATTACACAGAAGAGTGCCGAAAGACAAGAGGGGTTCAACAGGTATCGTCTTGTCTTGGTGTGCTCAATCTGCCCATGAATAAGGACTAGCAGGCTGGCTTAGTGGCCAAATACTGCAATCAGCAGTGGTCAACTTGTGGCACGTGTACCAAGGATGGGTGATGGGCTTCAGGCCCTGCAGTTTCACCCTCAGACTGTACAAGTGCCCCCTTGGTCTTTTAAATAGTAATTCTGCTTTATATGGCGATTCTTCAAGACCCATTTCAGCGAGGCTCAACTCCGCTTGGCCCCAAAAACAGAGCTGGTGGATCCGCTTGGGTTCCATGAGCTTCATCGCTCTTGGGCGTCCCCTCTTGATGATGTACTAAACGTCTGGGGAGATTTCACCTCATTAGCTCCAACTGCACTGGAAGTCTCAGTGGTAAAACAGTAATAATCTATTTAGGAAAGCAATAAGGGGCATTAATAACTCGCTAAACCAGGTTTAAGTTATTGTTTGAAAAAACTGAAAGGTTCGTTTCAAAGTGGTAGGCTTGAGCTGATCAATGATTCCATCTATTATGACTGCCAATCAAGTAGGATAGTTTTAATGCTACAAAACGCACCATCCACAGCTTTAATATGGACAAAAATAATCATATCTGTCTCATAATCTTAACTTCAGCAGGTTTTAATTAACAATGTATGCCGGCTTCAAAACATTCTGCAGTAGCAAGAGGCAGCAACCTCAGTCGTGCTGATTAAGCCATCTATGCATGCAGTGCCTTACCTTGCAAAACATAATAATAATAATAATAATAATAATAATAATCATAATAGGTTACAATGACAGCAAAGGAAATTTGTATTATTAAAATAAATTATCATTATTTGTTAGTATTTTATTTATTTATTTTTTCTTTATTATTATTAAGAGGCGCTTAATGGGCTCTAAAAGTGCAGCTTATTAAACCTTTAACAAAAATGATTAAACCATACCAAGAACTACTAAACCAGTCAAGAACAAGATTAGCTTACAAAGGAAGAGAGGAGAAACTCAAGCGTGGTTATTTCCTCTGGTGGTATTAGAATTTATTATTGAATAATAATAATAATAATAATAATAATAATAATATCTTTATTCATAAAGCACTTTTCATGCTGGTGGCAGCTTGAAGTGCTTTATAGACAGGTTTAATAGTAGCAGAATAAACTGAGTATTAAATTAAAATCATAAAAGACAATCATACAGATCAAATTAAAAGATGAATGCCAAATAGATAGAGTGTTAATTAAATGCTGAGTTAAAGAGATCCGGTTTTAGATGTTTCTTTAAAGTGAGCTTGACTGCCTAATAAATGATGGAACTGAGATCCAGAGTTTAATAACTGAAAAACTGAATAACTGAAAGAGTCTCATGTTTTCTGTGTTTTACGGAAGGTGTTTGCAGGCGGTCAGTATCTGCAGATCTAAGATCATAAACAGACAGACATTCTGTGAGACATTAAAGTCCTTTAAGGTCATTTAGAGCCTTAAAACTAGTAGCAGAACTTTAAAATTGACCCTAAAAGATACAGACGGCCAGTGCAGCTCTTTCTAAACGGGAGTGATCTGATCTCTCTGTTTTGTTTTTGTGCTGCTGCATTTTGTAAAGGATGTATTGTTTTCTTAGGAAGTCCAGTATGAAGAGCATTACGGTCATCAACTCTGCTGACAAATGCATAAACAAGTTTCTCCGTGTCGCTCTGAGATAGAAAAAGGCTGAACTTGTACAAGGTTGTACAAGTGACTCTAATCAGGCAAATTAGCTAGAAATTAGGAAGATTCATCAAAAATTGGTTGATTAAATAATTTTAAGAATAATAATATGTAAAAAATGTACCTTTGTAATGAAATAATTAATATGTTACATTTAAAAAAAAAAAAAAAACATTAAAAAATCATTAATTTAATCCTATTTTTATGGTTTGGCCTTTTTTAAAAAAATCAGATTAGTATAGATTAACCATCAAAATAATCAGTGTACTACTGGATTAGGCACTAAAAAAGGTATATATTATATAATTAATAAAAATGAATTAATGAATTAATTATTTAAATAAAAAATGTAAACAGACCAGCTGAATACTGATTAATCAGCAAAAATAACCAGCAAAATTCAGCAAATTCCTCAATTAATAATACAATCTACAGCCACAACAAACTCCTCAGTAGCTTCAGCTTCATGGTGTCACACAGGCAATCCCAATAGCTCAGACTCTTCGGAGGTTACTGGCGAAAGCCTGTCCAAGTTATTTTAGTGACTGTGTTTACATGTGGGATAAAACAGAGCTCAGAGTCGAAGATTACGCTCAGGTTTCATACTGCAGGTTTGATATACGAAGCGAAAGAGCCGAGCTTCTCGAAAAGCAGCTTTCTCCAGATTTCACTGCCAAGGGTCAGTTTTCAGTTTTTCCTTGATTTAGCAGTAGAAGAAGGAACCCGCTGAAAGGAGTGGCCTCTTAGTCAGCATTTACGGCCCTGTTTTCAGAAAATAAACTGACAGGTCAGCGATCAGACTATAGTACATTCTCACAAGCCTACAAAGTGGACAGTGCTTCTGTCTGGTACACTACAGAACAGGGTTCAAATCCCCGGCCGGGTAGTAATGTTAGTATTTTGGGCCGCTCATGATGATGGTCAGTTTCGTCTGAAATACGACTGCAATCTCTCTGAGTTATATATGAATGCCTGCCATATGCTGTGGATTAATTTAGGTCCATGTTGCCCTTTTATTTCGTCCTTGAGCTCCTCCCCCTTGAAATGTCTATGTGTGGTCCTGCTCTCCTGACACCACGTCAAACAGGTAGCTCTGGGTTTGGACGCTGCAACCGCCGAAGATGTGCAATACATTCGGACACACACGCAACCTCACCTGCGCTGCCTGTCGTACTGTGTGTTACACATTTGCCTTGTTTAAACAGTACATTAAATTACATGCTACACAAACAGAACATAACCAGCAAATTTCATTCAGCATTCAGTCCGCATTTAAAAATGTAGTGCCTGAGGCGTCAGCATCCATTTATTCTTCTCCCACAACGTAGTCACTGATCTTCCTGCACATCTCAAAACTCCAGCCAGATTTTAATACCTCATCATTCATTTTTACGAGACCATTTTCCAGCCTCTCTTTATCCCTTACAATTAAACAGGCTGTTTTTGTTACTGTGCCCTTAAGACTGACACATGTGAATGAGTTCTATTCTGACTGGCTGTGGCTCATTCATAAAGCAGTCTGGGCTGAAATGATTCAAAGCGAATGGGCAGAGCTACACTGCTGTGGTCTGAATAGGCGGATACATGTAAATGCATTAGCTTTCATGACATTACAAACACAATATAGTCAAAATGGGCTGTTTTCGCAGCTCAATTTGTTTAAAATGTTGGCTAAATAGGCTTTGAAGTGAACGGTTTTGAAACTTGAATAGCGTTCACCCACTACACAAACACTTTTATTTCAATGTAGTTTTCCATTATATGGATTTTATATTTCTACTTTATTATACCAATAACAGTCCTTGGGAAAGATTCCCGACACTACATTCATCTACCTCTGCAAAACTAATCTGCCAACTGACATACAAGTAACTGTACATTTCTCCACTGAAAATCCTCTGGGCTTGGAAAACTGACCCCATAGAGAGGGGTCCAAATATCTCAGACCACATTGAAAACCTGGGATTTTTCTCATTTAAATAAATAAATGAACAACAGTTTTATTTTGAATCGTTATGATAAGTGAA